TTTGTGGACTAACTCGTATTGCCTCCTAGTCCTCTTTACTTGCAGCCTTCCTCGCAACTCCTCCCCCTTTCTTTGCCAATCATTAGTGGTAGGTTTGTATCCCAGCCCAAAAGAATAGGGGTTGTGACTCATCTCCTTGGCAACAGTACCTTCATGCCTGCCACTTCTGCCTAGTCCTGATCTAGGAATATGCCCCTGTTTGTTCATCATGTAGATAGGTTGAGTGCTCACGTAATTTCCGTCGTCTTCTACCATGATGGTTTGGACCAACCGGGCCTCTACCAGAGAGGAAAACGTCATATTCTCTATGTATGATTTCCAACACGGGCGCAGTAGTTCCCTGTGGAGAATGGATCGCAGAATTGTCATACATAGTAGCAATCCCGCCTTTAAAAGGGTATTTTACCAACTAGTGGACCGTTGATGACACTGCTTTTATCTGATGTAGCCAAGGCCTTCCCAATAGTAGATTGAACATGGCCGAAACATCCATGACATGGAATTCCACCTCATGCTTAGACGGGCCGATTAGGATATGACTCTTAAATGTTTCCATAACATCTTAGCTCGTATTGTCATAAAGCCCGGACGGCCTGAGTCGTGGGTGTAAAGTCAGCAGGCCTCAAACCGATGGCATAGGTAGTCATCACTGGACATACATTGATCTCTGATCCGGTATCTATCAACACCACCAGAATCCACTTTTTTCGACTTTCCAGGGTTACATATAAGGGTCAGTTGTGGCTAGCATCCTCAGGTGGTAACTTCTTATCTGTAAAGGATATCATCGGCGTAATGTCCCCAGATGTAACCAACGATACTAATTGGTCAGTAGTGGTGTCAATAGACAGTTTGGTCCAGTTCATTGCATCTAACAGCACTTGTCTATGCTCCTGAGAAGCCATGATTAGCCCCCAGATTGATATGTCCGCCTGAATCTTCTTGAGCTATTTTAAAACCAAGTTTTCTTTAACATCCTTCTCCTTTGCTTTCTCAGCCTCTTTGTTGGAGAACTCCGACTGATCTAAGGCTGCAGGTTTGAAGTACCGACCACTTCGGGTCATATGGTTAATCTCGTCAGTATACCAAGTGTCATCGGGGGTTTCAGCTTTCCATCCTTCGTCTGTGTATACGTGACTCAAATCATTATCTTTCCACCACTCCCCTATAGTCATGGCTGGGCTATTATCTAGTTCTATCTGAAGCATGTTCACATCACGGACCCCATCATCACAACACTCTTCTTTCACCACAGTTTTGGTTTCTGCGTTCCAGTACTTCCTGAGCTTTCTCAACATTCTTTTCCTGTCATTGGGCTCCCATTTAGTCTTTCCCGTATTTTTTACGTCTACCGCTGTAGGCTCGATCCCCGCTGTTTCTTTCCCTTTTGTTTGCTCCAGGGCTATTTTTCTTTGGATCTTTTCAATCCGTTCCCGCTGGAATTGCTCCAACACTTGTTCTGTCTCAGTCAAAGGTGTAGCCTCAACCTTGCTGCTAGCACCATCTCCCTCTTCTTTTCTAGCCTCTTTTATCTGTTCTTTAACATCTGACTCTTCCTTACTTAACCACCTGTTACTTGTTTCCAACTGGCTTGGGTCCTACCATCCCAGTTGTACACTACTTGTATCCTCTTCTTCAAAGAAGTAGAGGTTGTCTAGATCCTCTTCCAGCTCGGCCATGTCTTCTTCCAGTGCAACCAAGTCATTTAGGCCCTATTCTGGCTAATCATTCTGATTATGCCCTATCTGGTCTTCCCCAATAGCATTAATGCTAAGGAAGTCTGGCAATATGACTATTGGCTTCGGCTGATTGATGGCTACGATGTATAAGCTAGGGTCATACTCCTCTGCGAGCGAGGCCCCTTTTTCTATGACTTGAGCATCAGGCAAGCCCTTCTCTAATGTACTCTCTTTCTTCTTTGCCTCTGCCGCCAGGGACTTGGGTTGGGTTTGCGGTGTTAAGTCCATCATGCACATGTCTATGCCTTTTGGAAGAATCACCTCTGGCTTGGGTAAATAGAATAAGGTAATGTAGGCATTGGGGTTAAATGATGGTGGTAGTGTATGTATTTGGTTAATGTTTCTGGGCAGGGGGACTTGGTTATGTGTAGGATGTGGGTTGGTAGTTACGTTTGGTTTGGAGGGTGGGGCGATGACTTTGTTGTCAATAAGATCATGGATGTAGCACAATTCTGTGGGATGACCATATTGTTGATGGAAGATGCAATACTGGGTAAGGTCATGTTCGGGTGGTAACGGGTCAAGAAGTGGTCGAGGATCGAGGGGTTTGAGATGCCCCTTTTCCATTAACAATTTGAGGACACGAGCTGGGCTCATATGAAGGGGGTAAAGGTTCTTTGGTTTCAGGGTGGGCCGATGGTTTGTGAAGGTTACGGGGTTATGACGGCAAAGGGATCGTCCATTTTGGCCACTGTAACAATTGTGCTGACATCTACAGGCCGCAGAATAGTGCTACTACTAGCATTGGTACCCTAGGAGAATGGCCTTCTTGCAGGTTCACTTGTTTTATGAATAATGCCCTTCTTGAATGCACTCTCAATCTGGACCCCCAACTCATATAAGGAAGCAAAGGTGGATAACGGTGCTACTATCATTCTCTGCAGCATATCTGGTTCAAGATTCTAGACCACCAGTCGGACTTGTTCTCTTTCAAAAGGTCTACTTGTCATTCTTCCTACTTTTGCCCTCTATCTAACAACAAAATCAATGAATGATTCTTTGAGGTTCTGGGTAGTAGCCTCCAGCTCACTGATGGTTACCTTTATCTTAGTGTTATAAGAGTACTGGTTGACGAACGCCTCAAATAACTCCTTCCAATTCCGCTTTGTAGAGTCCTCCAATTTAGCGTACCAAATAGCCGTTATATCAGACAGAGTTCTCCCGAACAATGATAGTTTTTGAGCCCGAGACAGGCCCATTGGTCTTAGCACATCTGAAAACAAGCGGACGTGCACAATCGGATCTCCACTTCTATCGAATCTGTCGATGTGAGGCATCTTAAATTCCTCCGGTAATCTGACCGAAGCCTCAGTGTACCCATCCTCAATATCTGAAATGGAGTTGAAGCCCTGGGACTTTTTCAACGCTTTCTCTAGCCTGGAAATCTTGATCAAGACCGGATCAATTTCATTGATATCAAAGGGAAGGATTCTCGTAGAAGGTTGAGCCAGAGGCTTATAAGCCGAAGCTGGGGAAAACATTTCCTGAGGATCTGGGATTTCGGGATTTTTCACTGGTGGGGGTGGATTTGGGTTCGGCTGAGCAGTCGGGATTGGATGCACAGTCGACACAAATGCCCCAAACGTGCATCGTAGATCAGCGATGATTTTATCTTGTGCAGCCATCCTTTGGTTCATAGTATCCATGGTTCTCCGGAAAGTTTCCATCATGGCAGCAAATTCTTCTGCATTCTGTGCCATTACTGGGCTATGTGAGTTAGCTACTGGTGTACTGTTTGAGTGAGAACAGATAGGTGTTTGCTGAATGCTTTATACTGGTGCTACTGATTGTCTGTCCCGTCTTCGTTGAACAACTGGCGAAAGTGAGACTAGCACTAGTTGACCACTAACAAGGTCTTGAGCTTTACAAAGCCCGCTAGAGCGAGTTCACACAACTTGGGGAATATCGGGTTTTTTTGAAACTACGATGGCAAACTACCTAGCAAAAGACAGAAAAGAAAAACCATCGATCAAACCATGTTTTTTAGCCTTTATTACACTCTGAAAATCAGTTTAAAAGGCAAAGAAAAGAGGATAGAACAGGCGTGTGAGCTATGAAGTATAGAGTAAGAAAGAGTGAGAGCAAGAGAGGGTGTTAACCCTTTCTATCATTTTGTAGCCATTCAAACCCAAGTTCTAACACTTAAAATATGATCAAAACAATACAAAAACACAAGAAATAAACAAAGAAAGACAGAAATGAAAGTAATACAAAAGGTGGTGAGCTTATACCTCTTGAAAAAGATAAGCTCTTGTTTGTGAACCAAACTTGGTCTAAGCACACTCTCAAGCTTAAATTGTAACTCACAAAGCTCAACCAAGGTTCTAAGTTCTTGCTCTAAGGTTAGCTATGGTATATAGATATAGTATAAGGATGATCAAATATCTCAAAGGTAGCTTGCACAAAAAGACGAAGCTCTCAAGGATTATTTTGCTTTTTAAAAATTTTTCCAACCTCTAACACTGAGATATATGCTCGTATTTATAGAATTTGAACAAAATAGGTCATAAATATCTTAAAAAATGGACAGCTGGCCATTCTCGCCCAGAACAGTGTTTCTCACTATCAAGAGCCTGCCGACTCCCAATGCTCTCCCATGATCCACTGTTTTACACTCAGTGTAGGGTGGCATAATGGTCAAAAATGAATTTCTAGGGCAAAGACAATATGAATATGAAAGGTTTGGAATTGGTTTTGGAGCGCGAGCTTTCGTTCCTTCGTTGAGAATTCAAATCACAATCAACACAATTTCATCATTGAGTGTACAGGACAAAGCGTCCAAGTCTTGCGAGCGGTCAAAAATAGAGTGTCTACACCCGATAAACTTCACTTTACTTCACGTAATCATCCTTGTTTAGTATTATTTAAAAATAACTACTTAATTTTGTAAATTAAAAGTTACACAGTCATACTTTTCATTCAAAAGCTATTTTGGTATTGCTAAAATAATAGTAAAAGCCTATTTAATAATATTTATATTTACAATTTATTATTTAAAACATTTTTGAAATTAGAAATGAAATATTGTTTTGATGCCTAATTTCTTTTTAAAAAAACAATACAATTTTCCAAATTTATTAAATTCTACAAATCAAAAAATGTGTCTTCCATTATTTTGTAAACAATTTTTCATTCTATTCTCGCTCCTTCACCATCTTACCTTTTGCCACCAACTCCAATCACCTCATATTTAACCACCCATTTGTATATCATTTTGTTTTTTTGCAATCATAGTTCGCTTCGCAGCACTCCCTCAAAAAGTAACAGTATAATTTTCCAAAAGGGAGGGAGGGAGGCAGGCAGGCAGGCAGGAAATTCTTTAATGGGTGATGACGTGGCAAGCACTATATATGTATTGTGTATTCTCCCACCCAATGGCCACCATTCATCTCTCTCCCAGGAGCCTTCTTTCTTCTTCCTTCACATTTCTTCTACAAAATCATATATGATAGATGTATCATAATCTTTTAAGAAGATAAAAAAGAAAGAAAGATGGGTGCTAATAATAACATTCATCTTCTTGAAGAAGAGAAGGCTCCTGGAGATCATTATGATCATCATGATGATCACAACAATTCTTATGGTCAAAACGAAGAAGAAGAAGATCATTCTTCTGATAGTAACTGGGCTGATGAAGATGATGATGATGATGATGATGATGATGATGAAGAAGATGATCATGATCATGAATCTAATAATAGCAATGAATCTCAGGAGAGGGCTCTCTATTGGGAATCCCAGGAATCCTTGCTTCAGGTACATTTTTTTTTTCTTTTTCATTTTAATTAATTAATATTTTCTCTGTTTTTAATCTTTAATCTTTATCATTAGTATAATAATAAACCTTTTGTTATCTTTAAATACGCTTTAGAAAAACCCAAAAGGGGTTTGGAATCTTTTTGTATTAATTTTTTTCCCGATTAGATAGCTTCATTAGATTAGATTAATTAATTAAAAAACCTAATCCATTCAACTTTATCATTATTTTGTTTAAATTATCTTTGTTGATCTTACTCTCTCACATCACTTCCATTCCATTACAAGTTGTTGAACATGAAGGATAAGTTTTAGAAAGTAGGTTAAAAATTAATTTTTTTGATTTTTTTTTTTAAAAAAAAATGTAAAAAATAGGGTGGTGATGTGATTCAAAAAAGTCAGAAAGCCAATAAGTTAACTTTTAACTTATTTTCCAAAATATTTAATCGGTTAAAAGCTCAAGTTTGAGTTTTGCAATTCCTTTCTAATTTCTCTCTCCCAATCAAAAAAGAATGAAAATAATTATTGAAAAAATGAATAGAAACATCTTAGAAATTATAAGGATTATTTACATAATTTCAATTCCAACTACTTCTAGTTGTATGCTATCTGATGAGTTCATGTTAATCTTACTCCATCTTTTTGTTTTCATTTTTGCTTTTTTTTAATCGGTGACTGATATTATAGATATCATGACAATTACATGATATTAGACATTCAAACATAGCTATAAAAGTAAAATAAATTCCAAAGAAATACAATTCTTCTCTCAATTAATTAATAGGACTTATGATTTAGATATCTAGTTTCAAAAGGTGGACCAAATGACACACAAATAAAATTTATATACAGAATTTTACACAAAATTATGTGGCACCTTGTGGTCCCTTTATTAATAATAAAAACACTCACTATTGTTCTCATAATTGACTGATGTCATTAAAATATCCATCATTATCTTTATAATTTTACAAATGTTAATGTTATATTATTTTTATTAAGAACTTTGTGCAGAAAATTTGTAAAGATATCATTTTTTGTGCTTAGCATTTTATATCTCAGTCTTTTTTAGTTATACTTTCAAAATTTAGGTCTATTTTTATTTAGAAGATTACATACATCCAAATTAGTTAGGATGAATTTTAGGACACCCTCTTAAAAAAGACAACAATATTAATTAGGGTATGATGATACAGAAGTTATGGTGGGGCTGTCATAGATGGTCAATTTGCTTTCTTCGTGGTTACCAAAAAAAAAACTCAAAACAAAAAATAATTTATTTCCTTGTCTTACAATTTTTTTTTTTCTTATACTAAAAACAAGTATGTAGCTATTATAAGGAAATGGATGTGTGGTTACTAATGATATTGTGGCATTAGATATCTATTCTTTATTTGGACCACTCCCACTACCACACATAGATAATAAATTTGGCTTGTAATTGAGACGTATGTGTGGTTGAAATCTAAAGTTCACATCACACCTCTCCATTAATGAATTATATACGACAAACCTACTGTTTTTTTGAGTTTAGATATTTTTAAAAACATGACTTATGATTCGAATCAAGATCGGATATTCTTTTAGAAAAATTTATATATAAAATTTATATAAAGATGTCTTACGAAAATGACGCATAGGGACATTATTATAAATATAGGTCATCTTTCTTAGAACCTGGGGTGCCGCTGTGACAGCAGACAGCAATTTGCTGCGAGCCTGTGGGGTTTTTTTTAGTCTTTTTTGATGATTAGAATCGTTCATATTGTAAAGTTTGTTGAATAGATCATTCATGCAAAAAATTAAATTGATTAGAAACCTATAGCTTTATAACAAGAGCACATTTATTTTTAAAAAAATAAACGGTTGACGTTATCTTGATAATTTTTATAAAACAATTTGAAATTGATCATAGGGTTACGAATTTTTGATTAATTTAATTTTTTATATGAATAATATACTCAACAAATCCTATAATATGAACAGTTCGGATCATCGAAAAAGACTCGGAAAAAGCTCCCACGAGCTCACAGCAGATTGCACAGCACCCTAGTTCCACTTTCTTAATATTTAATATCGTTGTTGTTTGGTACAATTTATCTGAGTTATTTTTAGTTTTTATATTGTAAGAATATGTATTAGACTATTTGGAACAGTTTTTACCTATTAGACTAAAACAACTTAAATAAAAAGCTGAGTGAGAGGTTATTTTATCTTTTACTTTTAAATTATGAATTTTTAATTTATAATAAGTTATGCGATCATTCCTTAAAATAGATTTTTTTCTTTTTTGTGTGGTGTGTGTGTAGGAAATTGTAGAGCACCATAGATCAACAGGGGGGAAGTTAAGGAAAGAGATCAACGGACTGATAGAGAAGGCAAGGGAGACAAATATATGCAAATGCGTTAATCCCAAATCAGACGGTTGGTGCAGCAGGTGTTTGCGTCAAAGAGTAGTAACTATGCTCTGCTGCAGAGGACTCCATGCCACTCTCTGTACCTCTAAGTGGACCCATACTCCCAAATTTCCAGGAGGTAAAAATATCCTCAATCAGTCAAATTGATTTATACCATTTGGGTCGGTTCAATTTGAGTTTCACTCGAGTTGATTAAATAATTCAATTCGCAAATTGTAAGATGGCGGTCTAATAATTTTTGAATTGGACTATAGAGTTCACTGTTGTGGGGCCTACAAACACGTTAGAGTAATATTAGGAATGACAAAAAAAATATCATGAAAATAATCACGAAAGATTTTTCACCTTTGGATTACACATACAATAAAACACTACATACTAATCAACGGATGAAAACTCTTCATGATGCATTTTATAATATTTTTTTCATGATTCCTAATATTATTCTTTTCATGATTCCTAATATTATTCTTTTCAATAATGTTTTTGCTCAAATTTTCATCCAAATTTGAATAAAAATACCATTATTTCTATTATTAAATTTGGATGAAAACAAGGTTGGAACTATTTAAGTGCAAATTAAATAAGTCAAAGAGTAAATTGATATAATTAAAATATTGGATAAGTGTGCATATTTTGAGGACTAACAAACTATTTAACTGCCACACCCCAAATTCGCTCCTAAAAGTTTGGGCATGACCTATTCAGAAACGGACATGAACCTGGTATACATAACTTACGGGGCCTTATCGGAAGCACAAAATGTTAACATAACATTGATATATATATACATACTCCATTGAGCTACTTCTATTATGCCAGGATCTCAAACATCACATCATCATAGACAAATAAAGTCCACAAATATAACCCTGAGCATCGGTTATAAACATACACATATACAGACCCAGCCCTAAGATTGGGCATATACAAAACCTAGAAGTTATGTACATTCAACCTTAGATGAACAATCCAAATACGAGCCACATCTTAACAAAACTTCCCAAAAAAAAATAAATGGCCTCGTCTAGTGCCTGGACACACAAGGGTTGACAAAAGAGGATGGCGTCCTGGTTTAGGATTGACCACCTGGTTGGTGACCTATAGAAACAGACATAACACAGAGTGAGCCAGGCTCAATGAATAATAATACACAGTTAAAACGATGTTTAACTTGAAACATAATATATAAATACATATTGATTAGTAGCTTATTAATCTTTATTGAGTCATAAATCATGTCTAGAATGCTCTGGAAAGAGATGAGGAGGAAAATATGAACTAAATGCAACTTTCCAAAATGTGCTGAAAACGGGTCTCCGCTCGAGCGCCACTTTGGTCGCTCGAGCGGACTGTAAAGTTTGTAAAACTACTGGGAGGTCGATTTTCACGCTCGAGCGCCACTTTGGTCGCTCGAGCGGACAACGAAAATTCTGAAATTCCAAAATTTCAATTAAAGTTCAAATTTGGTATTCAAAGCTTCAAAACATGTGCTGTAGTATACAAATGCAGAGTTCACATAGTTAGTCTGAGTCTGTTAATTCATAATGGCCTTAGGCACTATCTTGGAACATATTAGCTTAAAGCCCTTGAACGGTATGGCATAAAGCTCTTGAACAAGGTGGCACGAAGCCCTTAAACATAGTGGCACGAAGCCCTTGAATAGATTGGCATTGAGCCCTTGGATAATTTGGCATTAAGCCCTTGACCATACTTGTATGAACTCAAGAGGTGTCTCACACGGATTCTAGAGGGACTCACATCGTAGCACTTAGTTCCGTGTAACACTTTGTTTCATATCATAACAACTTATACTGAATGGCCATAGGCCCAGAGTCTTACCGAATGAAAGTATTTCATCTTCCCCATTTCTTTATTTACGTACGTTAAAACATTAACATAGTTGCATATCGTGCGTGAACAAAATGCTAATGACAATCATGAGCTAGATGTGAAGCGTATACTAGTACTACTACTCACAATGTTGAGATGACATGCTACTTTCTCCCGGGGCGTGTCCTGCACACATTCAAAACTTGCACATTAGTTCTTTCTTTTTCCTTGTTAAATTAGTTCCTGAGTTATTATGCCTCTAATGAATTTACAACCATCTTAAGATCATCAAAAAGATAGTCTACAAATAACAGAGGGTTGAGCACACAAAACAGAACAGATAATTTTTCTTCTTTTCCGCTCGAGCGGCTGTGTCCCTGTTTTGGTAGTCTGAAGTTCAACTAAAAATTCATCCAAAACCCTCTCTTGTTCACTTAAAACAAGGCTTAAACTACATCCATAACTTGCTAGATTTTGCTTAGAAATCATGTGAATAGGAATCACAACACATATAACAACCTAACATAATTTAGATCACTAACCTTAAGTTCATAACACAATACATAAGTATAATTTCATGGGTTGGCATGGAAACCAAAGATTGGAGTGTCAATTCCACACAACACTTCAATTAGAGCTCAAAGCAACCAATTGATGAGAATAACTTTGTAATCAAACATGAATCACACCCAATTCCCAATTACAAACCCTAATTGTATAAATATGAAACTAACAAACCCTTCCTCACAAATGGAAAGGAGAATTCTCACACATGGTTAAGAGAAAGCTTATGTAAAATTAATTTAGCATACCTTGGCCTCACAAATCTTCAAGATCTTCCTAATTTAATCCCAATTATTGAACTTTCCCTTTGTTCCCTTTTTCTCTTATTTTTTTTTTCCTCTCCAGGAGGTAGCTAGGAAAATCCCCTTCCCAAGTCAAGTGTTTAAAAGAACATGAATATATAATAGGTGAATAGGACAAAAATCGTTCATTTAATCATTCTGAAATTGAAATTTCGCAAACATGCTTAATATTACTTAAAAATTATGCTGATTACATATATAAAATCAATTTCAGATAATTAAGCCCCTAAGGCTTCCAATTTCTAATTCAAACGTTTTAATAGTGACAGATAGTTTTCTTGTTAAACAGATAGACACCCTTAAACATGGAGTTCGTTTACTTAACCTTATTTTCTCAGCAGATTTCACAGCAAGCATGTGAAAGCACAAAACAGGGACTGAAAATATATCAGAAAACACGTACGAGGGTCGGATTATTACATTAACTCTAGATATAGCTTCAGTAAATTCAATTTGATTTTCTTAGAGCAGCTAACAAACAACTCACTCAAAACAGTAAGCAAAAAGGGATATTCATAAAAATGTGATGAATTTTAATCAAAATGATACAAAAAGCGCATATTACAGAGATTAAAACTGTAATTACAAAAGGCGCATATTTTTGCTAAGTTGAATTTTTTGTTATAAAATTATTTTTGACAACATGAGCCATAGAGAAAGCATTTTAATCACATTTAATACTTTGTAAATGTTATTGACACAACTAAAATGTTACGTTTGGAGATCAAGACACAAAATGCATACTTCAATTAATCCTATATGCATATATTGAGTTGGTTATTCGATTCCAGGAACACACGAGTACATTGAAGTGACAGCAAGCACACAATCACGAAAGAAGCAAGTCATATTCTTGATTGAACTGGAGTTTCGCGACGAATTCAAGATGGGAAAAGCATGCAACGAGTACCACCACTTGATTAAGCAGCTACCAGAGATCTACATTGGCAAGGCAGAGCACTTAAACGCCATTGTTCGTGTGGTTTGTGATGCAGCCAAGAGGTCTACCATGGAGAAGAAAATCCACATGGGCCCATGGCGAAAGACTAGCTTCATGCAGAAGAAATGGTCTGCTTCTTCTTCTTCTTCGCCTTCAAGGCAAGCTCATATTCCCATATGCTTTGCTGTGGAAGTCGTTTAAAATCATTGCTTGAACATTTTCAATAATGCTAGTAACTTAGAAATCGAAGAACACAAAATCAGAGAGACATACAGACGCGTAAAATATATGGTTGGATATAATTTTTCAGGATTTGTTGAGGGAATTGAAAAATTGTGTATGTCAAGTCATTATTGTGTTTGGTTTCTGAAAATTTTGTGCAACTTATTATATTATTGGCACTGAGCACAAGTATTGCTATTTGTATGGTGGAAAAACATCCCTATGGAACATGCTAATTATGTATTTTTTATGGGTCATTACCATATATAATATTTATATATTTGCAGTTATAGTGGTCATGATTATTACAGAGCTTCCAAAACAACCAGTGATATTGCAACTAGAAATTGAACTTTTTGGCAATTTTTTTTTATTATTATTTTTTTATTTTAAAAAAAGCTACAAAAAATCAAAATGCTTTTAAACAAACAAGTCAAACACACCAAATATTCATATTTTTCAATACTACTAAAAGTAGTCATTCCCAAACTTCTTTCAACTCATAAAAAGGTAAAAAAATAATTCAGATCCCTTGAAGTATGGTGTTATTATCAAAATTTATGTACAACTTACAAATAAATAATTTTTAGAATTCACAACCTTTCAAAAAAAAAAAAAAACACACCTCTATTTGAGAGGATTGTATTTACAAACTTAGTGGCTATAGATTTATTTATACATAGCAATTTCCTTCAAAAATCTAATTGGTTACCTATAAAATTAAGGGCACTTTTTCTTTTTTTAATATTAAGATTTTATAAGATAAATGACATACAATATTTTCATAATAATTAAGGTCCCTCAACATTTCTACAAAGAAAATTCGACTCAGAGAAATTTGCCCAACTTAGAGAAATTTCTTTTATTTCACAAAGAAATTTCAAAATTTCTCTCAGTCGAATTTTTACTGTGAAAATAGTGAGAGATCTTAGCTAATAAAAAAAAGCATCTTAGACCTCTGCTTTCTAAAATTAATGGGAAATATCAATAAAATAGATGAGGGAAGTGATTACAATTGGGTGAAAATTATTTATAAATATCCCCACACATGGAATGGGGGAGAAAATACTAATGTATGGAATCTTAGTTTTCATTGCTTTTGTATTATGTTTTTACATTTTTAAATAAAAAGTGACTGTAAAAGAGCACAACTACATGTGTGTGTGTGTGTTTTTTTCATTATTTATATCACAGTTTGCATGACAAAGTAACCATTATATTCTTGATTTTTTTTTCATCATTATAATCATTATATTTATTTATTTGTGTGATTTTGAAGGCATTGAATGTAAAGTAAAAATATAATGTTGAAGGAGTATTTGGTAAATGGTAAAACCAATAAAACACAACTGTGCCACGAAGAACAGTAATGTTGATTTCTAACCTTTCAATCATAATCGAAATCAATGGTAATTAACAAATTGTTGATTATGTATATGCATGCTTTAAATAAATTAAAAATATGCAAAATTTTGAATTTATGAATAACGAAGGCATATATATATGCAATCCTGAAGAAAGAAAAAATCATCTACAATAAATGAAATATTTCCATTCATATGTTCAACTCCCTCAACATAAAATCTTAATTCCGTCCATGTCGGCCATGTGCCTTGAACAACACAATTTTGGCCTATTTAAGGCATAAAAAGATAAAACAAAAAAAAAATGTCTAACAAGTCCTAACTCGTTCGATAATAAAAAATAAAACAAAAAATAAGAGGGATTGGATCAAATATTCTCTTACATTAGATTTCAATTTGTGGGGTATTTTACAAAATAAATAAAAAGGCATAAAAATGTACGTTGCTGGATCAAATGTTTACTCTTACATTACATTTCAATTTTGTGAAACCATGCAATACTCAAGTCTAAAATCCTTGGAATGAGAAAGAAAGAATCTTGAAGAGACCGTCGGGATTGTCAGCATGTACCTGCCAATAAGTGCATAATGTGATTTGTAGGCTATAGTACAAAGAATTAAGATATAATGTTTGGTTCACTAGAAGAAAGGTGGATTGAAATGATTGTTCTATTAGACTATTCATTCTCAAGTATGTTCACTAAAAAAAATTATGAAAAACACATTATAAATGAAATTATATCATTTATCATTGTAAAGGAATGATCATTCTATATAGAAGCAAAGAAATGACTATTCATAAATGAAATTATATCATTTATCATTGTAAGGGAATGATCATTCTATATAGAAGCAAGAAATGACTATTCTACTTCATTTTAGTAAACTAAACAAGAGAGTCGAGCATAAGCATATTTGATAGTCCCAAAATTAGAACCACATTTAGGAATTGTATTAGACAAAACATGACATGCCACAAAGGATATTTGGTGTAAGAGGAAATTGGAAACAATATGTCTTCCAAATACCCTTTTCTAGTCATATTTAAAGATAAGATCACTGGAATGTACCTACCCAAAAAAAGATCACTGGAATGTGTGGTCAACACTGGCTTGGGAAGTTTTTTTAAGTAATGATACTAAGGTGAAAATCCACAAGAAAATAAAGTGAGATTGGAAAAATCATAAATTCAACCCCTAGCAAGTTGCTGTTACAAGAAGTAGACAGCTACATTTAAGCAAAAAAGATGATGCGAGCTACTCACTAGAATAGAATGTCTCATAATTTGACTCCCTTACAACAGCCAAATGAATTAGTAGAATAAAACTAAAACGCCTATAGGAGCCATGCATATAACAGTTCTAACTATATAAGCAATGCTTCGAGCTTCAACAGACAATAGAAAAGTCGATAACATGTAAAACAGCGATGGTGTCTTCCAAGCAGAGAGTAGTGAAATAAGAGGGGAAAAGGTCAACATACCCAGTGGCCAGCATCTTCAAGAACATGCATTTCGACTCCACCTCCCTCATCAGCAGCTAGTTCCTCAGCTGTATGAATCCTCTGGAGATCTTCCAGGGCCCATCTGTGCAAGCTCCTTTCTGCTTTCAAAAAATTAACATGAACCCCTCTAGGCACATCTTCTACTATTTTCCTGGATGTATTTGAAGCAGCAATAAACAAGCTCCATGTGTCAAACCCAAAAATATAATAATATAAAAAATTAAAATTAAAAATTAAAGAATACAAATCCCCTTGTAAGGTTCCCTCCCAAACACACATTAATGTTACTAATTGGACGTTGTTTTTATTTTATAATCATTAATTATTGTTAAAATTTACCATCACCTACCACCAATTTACCATCACCTACTCCTCACCTACTACACTCACCCTCTCCTATATAATGACTCCACTAACCCTAACCCACTACCCCACTATCACCATCCACTACACACCATCCACTACACCTACATCTATATAAGGAACCATTTGTAATAGACAGCAAATGTATCAATAGATCAAATAAAATCAATCAATAATACATAAATTGTTACAAATCTACTAACATGTTTAATAGCAAAAGCCTTTCTTCCAAGTTTGATGCCCTTTTGAAAGGTAACAAAAAAATTTCAACTTGGTATCAGAGCAAGGTTAAAGATCTTGATGTTCTTCGCCTTCCGGCGGGCGGCGACCTTGCCTTGACCGCCCGCCGGATCTCAACCAATTCAACCCTCCTTCTCCCTCTCGGCACCTCACTTTCTCTGAGCATGATTACCTACCACCAATTTACCATCACCTACCACCACCTACTCCTCACCTACTCCTCACCTACTACACTCACCCTCTCCTATATAATGAGCCACTCACCATTTGTAATATACACAACAACATAAATCAATCAATAATACATAAATTCTTACAATTATTTTATTAGGGATTGCAAATGCTATCTGTTACCAGTGCTGTGGCACACATTTGAGGCACGTGAATCAGCCTCTCCACAATAACGTGGGGGAGGTTGCCTGGCTACTACCTCTTGCAAGCCATGCACTGGATACAACTCTTATTAATCAAACTGCATGACCATTTGATTTGACAGAAATTTAGAAGGAAAAAAAATCCCTAACTAGTCACATTTGTTAAATTCTTGAATCCATACCAGAGTACATTTGTACAACCAATGATGTAATTAATGTATCCAGATAAGTTAAAACAGATAATCCAAGATAATTTTAACTGGTACATACCACAAATTTGTTGCTTCATAGGATTCATACATTTCAGCAATGCCATTAAGGTCAAACACCCATGAGAAACTTGACGGTGATGAACCAGAAGTGCTGCTTTGTCGAAGATTAGTTACCACCCACTGGGAACAAAAATCAAACCAAAAAAAGGAAAGAATATACGATTACAAGGGCCTTGAAAGAAATGAATATCAATAAAAGGAAAAAATATATGAAATTTAGTACCTACAGATACGTAAATGTAATTATTTCTTTAAAAATGTAATATAATCACAAGTTCAAAACAAAAAAATAATAATAAACTGGCATAACAAAGGTTCCTACAGAAGATGAGACACTATGACGTAACTGTATGACATGAAGTGCAATAAAAAATAAAAACAAAAAAAAGAAAGAAAAAAGTTGATTGTATGATGTTGCTGTAAGGTCACATGACAGTATTAGGCTAAAATATTACACTCTGAAGATGCCATAATGATGACGACAATAACTTTCAGGTCCCTTTGGAATTATGAGAACAACTATATATGACAACTATATATGCTATTTATTTCCTTCCTTTTGAAGTTTCAGGTCTTTTTGAAAGAAATGAATATCAATAAAAGGAAAAAATATATGAAATTTAGTGCCTCCAGATATGTAAATGTAATTATTTCCATATATAAAAATACAATGACGTAAAAAAAATAATATTGAGCTGAAGTTTCCCTCCAATCACCAAATAATTGCCAAATCCCTATTCCATAACTTCAAATAAATCATCAAGAACTGTTGTTACTTTTACGAAGATAGATATAGAGACCCTCACCCTGTTTATATCTCCACCAACCCCAAACCCTTTTGAAAAAACTCTTCAATTGCATGTTCTCAAATTTAAAAGGCCCCTTCAGTAGTTTTTGCTTTCCTACAAGATTGACACATGATCTTGGATTGGCTAAGGCAAGAATTATGCTGTAAATAATGAAAGATGCTTCTCTCCCTTATCCAGAATCAAATTATAGGGTGTCAATCATGATGTTACAATCAATGAACTCCATGAACTCTCTACGCCTACAGAAATCTGCAGGGACCCAACATTTTCACTAAGAAAGCCAATCATACTATAATCTCCTCCTAAACACCATGGTAGTTCCCATCTATCTCAAACTCCTCCAATAATTCTCCTCACTGTATCTTCTATCTGCCCACACTCTTGAATATCCATTGGAATCCCATAGCCCCTCTGTGAAATGCCTGAACCAGGGTTAATCTATTCATTAAGAGTTTTTACATCCAGACTTTAAAGAAAAGAGATTGATAGATAAACACGTATATCAATTTCTGTGTTAGAGATATACCTGTGCCACATCTTTTGAAAACCCTTCTCGAACAAGTGAATCTACCAGATCCTTCTTTGAAGCAACCTTCCTTAAACAAAGATTACAAAATCCTTAACAGAATTGAATAATGAGATAAAAATATGCTATTAAAAAGCATGAAGATCCAGGCTCTATTAGTGAAAAGTACAGAATACAAGTATAGGATATATGAACAAACTAGTTAGCCATAGGAATCATACAATAAAATGAATTGTGGTTTTCAAATACTGTTTACATATGCATCCAAAAATTTGAACTACTTCAAGTTTAGGTCATGATAATAGAGATACAGTCTATGCATTCACCTAAAATTTGAATAAACAATGAATACCTAAATAATCAACAGTGCCCACTCATAAACTTTTAATAGCCACGGTTGTACCTAGTGCACACAACTCCTGCTTACAGCACGGCCTAGGAGAGGTGGTAGGTAGGCAGGGTTACCCTCAACTTTTTTGTGGAGAGGTTAATTTCTATGACACGAACCCGTGCCACAGTGCTAGGGGAAGATAGCACTTGCCAGTGCTCCAGATCAAAATTCAGCTCTATGACATGGGAATAGAATTTTGATTTTTGGCAGGCCAAATTATTTATACTTCAAGCTTGAAGCTTTGTAAGGTAAGATAATAACGTACACTTCATTTTTAGAAATAAATAGAGATTATAGCTAACACTTTATGCATATCCATTCAATGAATTAAATAACAGAAGCACATAACCAACCTAACCAAGTCTTAAGTCCCATCAAATGAGGTTGGCTATAAATAACAGAAGCACATAATAAATCAAATTAGAAGACTATCATGAGCTTTTTTCTTTTTCTAATTTTTTTTTTTATTTTTTATTTCCACTCTTTGGTAACAAGAAAACCGTATGTTGAGACTATCTACGATAATCAAGAAAGTTGTGAAAAGCATATCAAAACACCTCTCATTAAAATGAATCAACGGGTTCTGAATCTTGACATATTCAACCAATAAATACATAACTAACCTGAGCCAAACCCTCTATGTTACTCAATATATTTGAGTAGCTCTAAAAACAAACTAAACCAAGTTAAAGCTAAAGCAAACCAAGTTCCCATAACCTGGCTGGGAAGATTTGACACCAAACCTACCTGACCATCAACTAAAGCAATTATTGGCCCCGTTTGGTGTAGCAGTTAAAACAGATTATAGATTACAGCGTAACAGATTATAGATTAAAGCCCTGTTTGGTAAGGCTTATTTCCAGCTTATTTCAGCTTTTAGCTTAATTTAAGCTATTTTGATGTGTTAGGTTCAGCTTAACAATACAAATTATAGCTTTTTATAAGTCAAAAATCAACTTTTTCTTTGAGTGGGGGAGGAGAAGCTTAATTTATAAGTCAAAAATCAACTTAAGCGCGCAACTGAGATGTGAGGGGTAAAATGACTAAAATATCCCTCACAATTTCAAATTATTACAAGTGTGCCATGTATATAAACCAAAACACACTCATTTTTGTCCCTCACACGAGCCAAAGAGGCAAGGCGAGGCGAGGTGATTTCCGGTGAAGGGGATTTCCGGCGACGAAGTGATTTCTGGTTCTCTCTCTCTCTCTCTCTTTTCGTTATCTCTTCTCTCTCTCTCGTGATCTGAAACCCTAACCAAAGGGGCAAAACCCTCCCGCTGTAGAGGGGCAAAACTCTCTCTCTCTCGAACCAAAAGGGCAAATCCCTAGCTCGCCATTGATGAACCAGAGCTCGCCATCGACGGCGTGACGATCGAACGGTGACGAACCAGAGCTCGCGATTGACAACCCTAACCACACCCATCATGATCGATTGCGATCTGAACCAGAGGCAAAACCCTAGAGCTGCCGGCGGTGGCTAGGGTTTGCTATTATTGTAAAATGAAGAAAAATAAAAAAGAAAAAAGAGAAAAATAAAATAAATTAAAATTGTTTAATGAATTAAATAATTAAGCCATTAATTGATAATTAACTTTCTATTAAGCCATTAATAAAAAAATATGAAATAATTAAGCCATTAATGAAATAAATTTTATATTAATTGATAGAATTAAATAATTTTAGTATTTGATACTAAGTAGCCATTAATTGATAATAAATTAAATTAAAAAATATTAATAAATATTAATGTATTTATAAGCTAAAATGAATATAAAAAAATAATATGTAATGAAATCACAACATTAATATAAATGCATGAATATAATTAATATGTAAGAAGAGAAGAACAAAAAAGAAAATAAAATAAAATGAAGAAAAAGAAAAAGAAAAAAAAAATTAGAGAAGAAAAGAAATAAAGAAATAAAGAAACACGAGAATAAATTGAAGAAATGGAATCGCAATTGTTATATTAAAATTAATGAAAACAGAATCACAATTTTTTTTTAAAATTAAAATTGAAGAAAAAAAATGAAATACAAAATGAAATAATTTATATTAAATGAAATAAAAAAATGAATATTATAACTTCTATTAAATTAATATAAAGAAAAATAATATGTAATGTTCATAAGGGCAAAAATGACAATTACACAGCAAAAAGCTATTTTACAGCTTATTTACCAAACACTACTCTGCTGCTTAAATCTATAATCCCACAGCTATACCAAATAGGTTATCAGCTTATGTTTACAGCTGTAGGCTATAATCTGTTAAGTTATAAGCTATAATCACTTTCCTACAGTTCTATCAAACAGAGCTTATGACTTTAATCAGAAGTTGTTAATCTGTTTGGTGTAACTGTTAGATTATAGATTTAAGTTGTTGAGTAGTGTTTGTTAAATAAGCTGTGAAGTAGCTTTTTCAATTAATTTTTATTTTTTGTTATTCACTACTTGTCTACGTTTCTCATAAAAAATAATAATCAGCTTGTTTGGTTCCAGTTTTCAAAAAATTCTACTTTTTTATTTTTCATACTTTAATGTTTTCAATGAATTTTTTAATATTTTAAGAATTTTTTTTTAATTTTTTGACACACCTAACATAAATACACTTAAAAAATATAATATTTGTGAAAAAAATCTTTAAAAAATACACTAAATACCAAAAAATACAAAAAAAAAAAACGAAAATTCAGTACATTTTCGTATTTTTGTGTATTTATTAATTTTTAAAAATATTTTTTCACAAATATTTTACTATTTTAGATACATTTAAATAAGGTGCATCTAAAAGAGTAAAAAAATTACTTAAAATTTTAAAAATATTCACTAAAAACAAAAAAATACAAAAAACAAAAAACTTAGTTTTCAGAAAACTGAAACCGAACACACTGAATAATAATCTATAGTTCATTTGGTTATTTTTCTATTTTTAAAAAATTAAAAAATTAAAAAATCTAAGAGTATAACCGTAAATTAACATGTCTACAGCAGAAACTAATAATCAGAAGTAAGGGGTGAGCCACTTCTCAGAATCAACTTTTTAAAGTTAAAATAAGTTGTTAGAATCAAAAGCTGTTTGAAATAAGTTTAACCAAACAGTCCAAAATAGCCTTTCCAAAGCTAGAAGTTATAAGTTGGCTCAAAAAAGCCCAAACAAACACCCCCATTGAATTCAGTGCAAATAGGCTAAAGGCATATCAGTCAACACACACCAACCAAATGCTTCTCTTAAATTGTTCATTTTCCATCTTACAGGCAGAATAAGCCCGAAAAGCATGTATAGAACAATCTATAGCTCAAAGGGAACACAACACCTCATTTAACCCAGAAAAAAGGATTGCCAGTCTTACAAAAAAAAAAAAAAAGGAAAAAGGACAAAGACAGCTACTAGTGCAACTACAACCAAAGAATTGAAACTCACCTCCTTTGGCAATGTCCTTAGAAAAGAGATCAATTCAAAAGGACGATCATCGCCATCTCCACCAGCTCGAACTTTTCCAGGAGTAGCATCTAGAACCCAAACCTATAGGGGGGAAAAAGTTCGGTGAAATATGATAAGAAAACCAAGGAGAAAAATGACAATTTAAACATAAAAAGGTCCATAATAGCGGGAATACGCAAATTGGATAATAAATGCTCTTCCAGGTTGACGGTTTGCCAAAGGTCCATGGCACCCAAGAAGCTTGGCATTGACACCATCTCAGTTCCTCCAGCTACGGCTCCGACGACACCAGCTGTTTCTCTGGCCACCGCGCCAGCTGTTGCTCCTCCGGTGCCGGCTTCTTCTCCTCCGGCGTCATCTCTGCTGCCATCGCCATCCGAGGCTTCACCCGGCGCTCCCTCTCTCAATCTCTCTCTGTCTCCCTGATGGGGGAGAGAAGAAAGACCACAACCAGTGTGTGTTGAATACACACCGCGGGGTCTCCATCTGTGTTCCACCAGACACACCACAACAAAGCTTCCACTGTTATTCTAAACTATAATAACACACCACCCCACTTTCCTTTTCTTTTTTTTTATTTTATTTTTCGTAATCTTTCTCAAATCTTATCCCCACTCATCCACACCCCACTTTCCTTTTCTTTATTTTATTTTATTTTTCAATAAAAAAAAAAAAAAAAAAAAAAAAAAATTTGTCGGCTTGGTTTGTTGTGGGCAGGCTGTCATCTAAGGTCAAATCATGTGAGTTTTATATATATATTATACATAAACATGTCATGTGGAGACACTGGCATGGTATTTCAAATCCTTCTTTTATTTTTTATATCAACCCACTCACAACTTCACACACTATCACTGTTTTTTTAAATCCTTATTTTATTTTTTTATCTTTTCTTTTTGCACATTACACCATCGCCCCCACCATCTTCCACTCAAAAATATTCTCTCTTTTCTTTATCTATTTTTTTATTCTTATTATTATTATTAAACACAAAAAAAAAAAACAAAAAAAAAAAACAAAAACCATTCCACAACCTTGTCATTTCTTTCATGCCGGGGATCAACCCCGATCATAATTTTACACAAACAAAAAAAAAAAAAAAAAAAAAAAAAAAAAAAAAAAAAAAAAAAAAAGCAACAACCACAACAACAACAACAAACCACAACGGTTTTGTTTTCTTTCCTGCAGACGGCCACACCCCGACATCCCTTCTCTACTCTACTGCAGGTCTCTTCTTCTTGCCTCCGTCATGAGCCGCCCTTGACGGTGTTGCCTCCGTGTTTCCTTGTCCACCGAGCACGTTCACTCCCCCAAACTCTTCCACTGCAGCATATGGCGGACCTCCAAATCGGAACATCACGGTGGCCTTCCGCTTCAGCTCCTTGTTTTCTGCCCTTAGCACGCTTATCTCTGCTCGCGCATCCTTATACATGCGTTGGAGCAGAGCCAGCTGGGAATTTAAATGCTGCACCTCATTTGTCCTACTCTGCAGCCGGTTCGAAAAATTTGTGACCGCCGTCATGCTTTCCACACATGCCTTCAGAGTATACTGATGGGCCTCCACATCCGACTGCACCGCCATTTTTTGCTCCACCGACCGCATCGGAAAGTTCAACGGAGCAAAACCAGAGGTGTTTGGTTGCGGTTCACTGGACACCGCACCAGTTATTTCTCCTGTGGGCTCGTTCAGTTCTGGAAAGAGCGTGAGCAGGTTCTGGGTAACTGGACGGGAAGAAGAGGCCATGTTTTTTGGGTTGCTAAGTGTTTCAGCGAAATAGCAATTTCAGACTGGTAATGTTCGGAAGGGTTGGTGACAGAATGGCAACAAAGTGTTCCACAGTTTCTCTCTCCGCAGAGGCCTCGCCAAGCCTCTTTCCGTTTTTATGCCAAGAATGTCTTCCTCGCCTACCCACAATGCCCATGCCCAAAAGAACAACTCTTAGAACTCCTCCAGTCTCTCCTCCAACTAGCATGTCAACCATACTACAGTTCTACCAAACAGAGCTTATGACTTTAATCAGAAGTTGTTAATCTGTTTGCTATAACTGTTAGATTATAGATTTAAGTTGCTGAGTAGTGTTTATTAAATAAGTTGTGAAGTAGCTTGTTCAATTAACTTTTATTTTTTGTTATTCATTACTTGTCTACATTTCTCATAAAAAATAATAATCAGCTTGTTTGGTTCCAGTTTTCAAAAAATTCTACTTTTTTATTTTTCATATTTTAATGTTTTCAATGAATTTTTTAATATTTTAAGCATTTTTTTTTAAAATTTTTGACACACCTAACATAAATACGCTTAAAAAATATAATATTTGTGAAAAAAATCTTTAAAAAATACACTAAATACCAAAAAATACAAAAAAAAAATACGAAAATTCAATACATTTTCGTATTTTTGTGTATTTATTAATTTTTTAAAATATTTTTTCATAAATATTTTACTATTTTAGATACATTTAAATAAGGTGCATCTAAAAGAGTAAAAAAATTACTTAAAATTTTAAAAATATTCACTAAAAACAAAAAAATACAAAAAACAAAAAACTTAGTTTTCAGAAAACTGAAACCGAACACACTGAATAATAATCTATAGTTCATTTGGTTATTTTTCTATTTTTAAAAAATTAAAAAATTAAAAAATCTAAGAGTATAACCGTAAATTAACATGTCTACAGCAGAAACTAATAATCAGAAGTAAGGGGTGAGCCACTTCTCAGAATCAACTTTTTAAAGTTAAAATAAGTTGTTAGAATCAAAAGCTGTTTGAAATAAGTTTAACCAAACAGTCCAAAATAGCCTTTCCAAAGCTAGAAGTTATAAGTTGGCTCAAAAAAGCCCAAACAAACACCCCCATTTTTTCAGAAAACTGAAACCGAACACACTGAATAATAATCTATCATTTGGTTATTTTTCTATTTTTAAAAAATTAAAAAATTAAAAAATCTAAGAGTATAACCGTAAATTAACATGTCTACAGCAGAAGCTAATAATCAGAAGTAAGAGGTGAGCCACTTCTCAGAATCAACTTTTTTAAGTTAAAATAAGTTGTTAGAATCAAAAGCTGTTTGAAATAAGTTTAACCAAACAGTCCAAAATAGCCTTTCCAAAGCTAGAAGTTATAAATTGGCTCAAAAAAGCCCAAACAAACACCCCCATTGAATTCAGTGCAAATAGGCTAAAGGCATATCAGTCAACACACACCAACCAAATGCTTCTCTTTAATTGTTCATTTTCCATCTTACAGGCAGAATAAGCCCGAAAAGCATGTATAGAACAATCTATAGCTCAAAGGGAACACAACACCTCATTTAACCCAGAAAAAAGGATTGCCAGTCTGAAAAAAAAAAAAAAAAAGGAAAAAGGACAAAGACAGCTACTAGTGCAACTACAACCAAAGAATTGAAACTCACCTCCTTTGGCAATGTCCTTAGAAAAGAGATCAATTCAAAAGGACGATCATCGCCATCTCCACCAGCTCGAACTTTTCCAGGAGTAGCATCTAGAACCCAAACCTACAGGGGGGAAAAGTTCGGTGAAATATGATAAGAAAACCAAGGGGAAAAATGACAATTTAAACATAAAAAGGTCCATAATAGCGGGAATACGCAAATTGGATTCACTTTTCAGGTCAATTGGGATTACCTTGAAGACTTTATTTTCGTAGGTAGATTGCCTTGAAGTTGATGCTCAAAATATCATTGGGTTATGTTGATAATATAATTTTTTTTTTTTTTTTGGGTTTTGATAAACTTCCACAATTAACTAGTTTATACTGAAGTTTAAAAGATCTCTGATTCTTCATGATATAAAAATAAAATAAAATAACGCAAACTTACTCTGACAGGTCGTGCCAATGGCTTTGGAGTTTGATCCAACATGCTCAAGGCAACTGCACAAACAAGAAGGGCACAGACTAAGTACTTGCCTTGCATAAATGATTTGTACCTTAACCATCATGCATCTGTCATGCTCTGAGTTACATAAATTACATGAGAAAGAATGCAAAACATACCTTTTCCTCCAAAACTGTGACCAACTACAACTCGAGGTGTTAATCTAAGCTGCCCAAGCTACTCCAGATAAAAGACAAAGAAATAACTTGTCAAATATATAATCAAGCCAGCACATAACAAGGGGAGAAGTGTATTTTCTTTCATGTGATCATCCAGTAAGGAGCTGGTTAATTCACACATTAGAGGACTTTGTATTACAGAGAATAAGACTACAAAGAAATGCTACATATGCATTATTCAGTGAGAATATTGAAGTAACCAGGTAAGTAATCAATGAATGTTCATGTAGTAATATGTTTCCAAGAAAACCATGTGAACCTTATTTTATTATAGAAGACTAAGAAAATTCAGAGTACTAGATGTACATAGTATAGTGGAAATTTTATAAGTAGACGTAAGCAAATGAAAGATGGAACACACTAACATTCAAGCAAACCACAAGAATCATATGTCATAACATCATTACACGGAATGGCGCTCCATCATCAAAACCCAAGAAATAGCCTAATAATAACTGAACAAGATGGTGTAGGTACAGATTCAGGGTATAAAGAATAAGTAGTAGCTTAGGGATGAGATTCTCATTAGGAGGTCAATCAAGGACCTATGCAAGTCAGCGCTACCCCGTTCCTGTGGGGAACCACAACAGTGTACTGAGGGAGGAGTTGGAGGCCTTACAGCAATAGGGACTTGTGTTTCTATCAAGGTCATGCGAAGCCGGATGGTCAAAGATCATATTTCCTCTATGAAGACAGAAGAAACTCTCAACGACTAGGTGCCGCTCTCTTTTTGAGTTATTCATGCTTCTTCGCGATTTTGTTGCCACAGTGCACCCTTACGAGACAACGTAATCAGTTATAAAGTAGGATTGGGGCAGCCACTGTTGGCCCAAAAATTAGTAAAGTGGTGAAGAGTTTCCACAAAAGGATTATATAAATTCTATGAAACTTGACCCGAATTTTTTTGAAGTGAATTTTATTAACATAGTGAAAAGGGGGGCACCACCCAAGTAGAGAGAGAACGAAGAAAAAAAAAAAAAAGAACTAAAGAAAGAAACAGAGGAAAATCCACTTCAACAACTAACAATAGCTAACCATAGATCTGTTTCCTACAGTCAGTCATAATTGACTGAGTAATGCAACCTCTTCAACTCCCTATCCTTCCTAGAAGATGATAACCCCAACCCTTATTCTTCTTGGCTGCAACAGCCTCCAGTCTCCACCTCTTGTCAATGTCTTCCAATGGTTACATACCTTCCTTCTCAAAACCCCTGAATAGATAACCTCAAAACATCACCAACTCCACATGTGTTTCGCTTCATCAAACTGCTCCATTCCTCCTCTTCAGGATCCGAAGCCTCTTCAAATACATCCTTCTATAAAACTTCAATGGGAATTCTACTACCTCTACTAGGAGTAGCCGTTTTAGTGCTAGCTGAACATAAAGTAATGGCTTTTGTGCAACGTCGAAAGGGTCCTGAAGGAATTACATTGAATAAAGTAAAGGAATAAAAACCTCTCGGTGTCTTCCTATGTTGGAACTCCCGCCAAGTGTCACTGCTCCTACTGTTAGATTGGTAACTGGTACGGCAGCCAATGAAACTTGGCTATGTTACCTCCATGTAGAACTTGTATGAAAAGGGAAAAAATATAGAAAGACAAAAGACAACAAATTCAGATATGCATAATTGGCTGATAGCAGCATCCATGGACATGGAATAAAAACAATTAAGAGCATGTTTTGTTTTAGTTCCAGATAATCCAGAACAAGGAAACAATAAATTCATGCATGTATACAGCAGCCAGTATCAAGAATTACGGACAAGCTTTAAGATGTCAAGAGCAGCTGATGCAACAGTATGTGGACCCCGCTTCTTGATCGCTGTTGAATCACCATGGCACCGCAGGTCTACCAAGAGAAACTGTGTCAATCACAATCTGAGGTCAAGTTAGGTTCTGAAAAATGTAACAAACCATAATAACCACGCACCAAATTTCAAATCCAACAAAAGAAAGGTGCCATTTGGTCAATTAAGCATTTGATTATTCCTTTATTCTTTCTGAACTGTACCATCACACAGTGAAGACCTGATTACAATTTCTTTCAGATTGTGTCACTCCTAAGTGTTACTAATTTGTCCACTAACATGGCCAAACACCCCACTTTTCCCCTAAAGAAAAAAGAAAGAAAGGGGAACAAATAAGCGTATCTATAAGTTTCTAAAAAGAATTAACTCGTATATTCAATTGTTATTGTTTACAAAGAGTTCATCGGTTTATATAGCCCTAATATACGACTGAAAAGGAAATATACAGATTCATTCATATTTACACCACCACAATTTTGCCTAATTTGCCTAATTCCTAATATACACAAGTATGCCATATATACATATTTTTTACACCCCGGCTCAAACTCAAGGTGTTTTAGCAGAAAATACAGAGAGTTTGTTAAGAAAAAACCGAAACCGAGCGATAGTGTGAGTCTTGGTGAAGAAGTCAACAAGTTGCAAAGCCGAGGAGACGAAAGGTAGCAAGATAGTGCAAGATTGCAGATGCTGTCGTACAAAGTGACAATCAACCTCAATGTGTTTTGTCCGTTCATGGAAGACAATGTTGTGGGCAATCTGAATAGCACTGCGGTTGTTAGAATAGAGAGAGGTTGGAGAAGACTAAGATACACCCAAATCAGAGAGAAGATAACGAAGCCAAACAAGCTCAGCAATAGCATAACCCATAGCATGGTACTCAGCTTCGGCATTAGAGTGAATAACAACAGTTTGTTTTTTGCTTTTCCAAAAGATCAAGGAATCACCAAGAAACATGCAAAACTCAGAGGTGGACTTGCGATCATTAACATCACAAGCCTAATCAAAATCAGCATAGGCCACCAAATCTAAAGAGGAAGTAGAGGACAACAGTAAGCCCTGAAAGATGGTACCCCGAAGATAGCAAAGAATGCGAACCAAAGTAGCCCAATGGGTAGAGCGAGAAGCAAAAACAAACTGACTAACCACATGAACAACATAAGCAAGGTTAGGGCGAGTGACAGTCAAATAAACTAAAAACCCACAAGCTCACGATAGAACGTGGGATCATCCAGAGAGACAACATCAGTAGAGCTAAGTTTTACATTAAGCTCAATAGCTGTATCAGAAACCTTAGTATCAGTAAAACCAGCACGGTGAATAACCTCATTAACATACTTGGCCTGAGACAGAAAATAACCCTTTGGAAAAGAGGCAACCTCAATACCAACAAAATACCGCAAATGACCCAGATCCTTCATTTCGACGGTGCAGGAGAGATGTTACTTGACCTCAGAGATAGTAGAAAAGTCAAAACCAGTGATGATCATATCATCCAGATAGAGGAGGAGAGCAACAAAACCAGCTGAGGTATGTCTCAGAAACAAAACAGAGTCGGAAGCAGAAGAATGAAACCCAAGCTCGATAACAGTAGTCTGAAAGCGATCATACCAAGCATGAGGAGACTGCTTCAAACCATACAATGCACGCTGAAGATGACAAACCTTCCCATACGAGTGGAGAAGACCAGGGGGAGGACGCATATAAACCTCCTCAGTGAGATGACCGTTAAGAAAAGCATTCTTAACGTCTATCTGGTAAAGAGGCCAATGGCAAACAGCAACAACAGAAATCAAGATACAGACAGTAGTCATCTTGGCAACAGGGGCAAATGTCTCCTCATAATCAATACCATACTCCTACGAGAAACCCTTGGCAACTAAGCGAACTTTGTAGCGCTCAAGAGAACCATCAGAATGAGTCTTGACTTTATAGACCCATTTGCAATCAACCAGATTCTTGCCAGCAGGCGAAGGAACCAACTCTCAAGTGTTAGTCTTTTGCAAGGCAAACAACTCATATTCCATAGCTTGAACTCAATTAGGATCCTGATAGGCCTCCGTGTGAGACTAAGGTTCTGAAAAAGAATGAATAACAGAAAAAAAAGTATGATAGGGAGCAGAAAAACATGTATTAGACCAACCCAACCTGTTTGGAGGGCAATGCTCATGAGTAGGATATCGGTGTGCAACAGGATCAAAGTCATCAAAAGTAGAAGGAGCAGCAACAAAAGTAGGGACAACTGGTGGCGGGAGAGCCTTGCGACGAGAATAGACCAACAACGGAGGGGAAGAAAAAGGCGAAGGAGAAGGAGCTATGGGTGACGCAGATAGAGAAGTAGGAATGACCTCAAGAGGAACAGTAGAAATGTACTCATCAGACGGAACCTCTGAAGGAAATGGGTCAATGTGAACCAAATCCTCTTTGAAAACGGGAGTAGTGAGGGGGGAAACTGAAAGTGAGACGGACGTTCGAGAAAGGCAACATGACGGGAGACATAAAGGCGATGAGAGACAGGATCGTAACAGCGGTGGCCTTTCTGAGTAAAACTGCAACCCAAAAAGACACACAAGACAAACCTGACACTGAGTTTGGTCCTATCTTTACGGGAAAGAAGGACAAAACAAGTAGACCCAAAGACACATAGGAGGGAATAATTGGGAGGTTAGGAATACAGAGCCTTATAAAGGGCTTGACCGGAGAGTAGGGGAGTCGGCATGCGACTAAGGAGGAAGGCAGTGGTAAGAACTGCCTCACCCTAGAATGGTTCCAGAACAAAGGCAGAGAGAAGGATAGATCGAGCTGTCTCAAGGAAATGACGGTGTTTACGCTCAGCACGACCATTTTGGGCAGGGGTATTAGTACAGGAGGTTTAGTGAATGGTGCCCAATGTAGCTAAATACTCACAGAATTCAGTTTTAAAGTATTCCTTACCCAAGTCAGACTGGACTATTTTAATTGTGGCTCCAAACTGTGCAGTGATCATATACTGAAAGGTACGATATATCTAGTAAAAGTCAGATTTATGAGCCATAAAATAAACCCAAGTATAGCGGGTGCAATCATCAACAAATGACACATAGTACGCAGAACCCCCTTTAGTGAGAACAAGAGAAGGTCTCCAGACATCAGTCTGTACAAAAAAAAAAAGGAAAAGTAGAAATAGAAGTACTGTTATTAAAAGGTACAGCTGTCATTTTAGCAAGTTTACATTCTCGACACTCATCAATTTGACTAAGAGAAACTTTACCTAACAATCCTGACTGAGTTAAAAATCGCAAACGGTCAACAGACAAATGACCTAAGCGAGAATGCCATAAATAAAACTAACTTGACTCAGAATCTAATTGAAAAGATGAAAGTGCAACGGGTGCAACGGGGGAGGTAGACAGAGGAAGATGCAGGCTTTCCACCATATAGAGATCTCCAACTCTACCGCTGATCTCAATTTGCTTTTTGGACATCCGATCCTGCACACAACAGACAGAAAAAGAAAAGATAACATCAAAACCAGAAGTATCAAGCTGACTAATAGAAAGCAAGCTAACAAACAATTGCGGAACATAAAGAACAGAGAGAATAGTAACAACGGACATGGCAAAGGATAAGACAGACCCAATAGATAGGACAGACATACCAGACCCATTAGCAGTATTAATAGTAATAGGAAAGGGAGGGGGAATACAGTTTTGGAGTAAGGAAAGGTGAGGAGTCCTATGATAAGAGGCACCAGAATCAAAAAGCCAGATGGAGTAAGGAATACCTGAAGAGGACCCAAGTAAACCTGAAGAAAGAGAGGTGAGAGCAGATGCAGATGAAGATGATTGAGAGGTGGACAAGTGATTTGTTGAAGTTGAGCAAGCTGAATACTCAAGGAAGCCAAATCAGGACCTGGAGTCAAAGCCGAAGCCGGAATGGAGGCAATACAAGCAGCGGGAGGCCGAAAAGACCCCTGAGTAAGAGTGCGGAACTGAGATTGAGACTGCTAAGAAAACGAACGTCCCTTCTTGGGACAGTTGTACTTCTAATGACCCTTTTGATGACTAAGAGTCACCAATAGGGGTGGCTGTGCTAAGAAGACTGAAGGAGACACGGTCTAACTGGCCATCTTGAGACGGGTTTCTTTTGAAAGAAGCTCACGAATAATAGCATCCACAGAAGGGAGAGGAGAACGGTGAAGGATGACACCACGGATAGCCTCGTACTAAGGAGAGAGAGAGTCGTCAAGAATTGCACCAAACAACCCTCCTCCCTAGACTTCACATAAGCATCGAGGGCTGTAAGACGAGGAGGTTCCATAAGAGCAAGCTAGAGAACCTTGGGGTAAAAGAGTAATAAGCAGAACACTAATGTTATCAATATAGACAACCAATTATTAGAGATACCAACGCGAATCAATCGCGAAGCAACTGAGAGGGAGAGATATTGTGGTCGGCGAATGCATAAGGGAGACACACGATGACGATGCGACGACAACTGTGCTAGGACTCACGATGCAGAGATGGCTGAGGGAGACAACAGTGCTAAGGCTTGCGAGGCTGAGGGAGACAACGGTGCTAGGGCTCGCAAGCACACAGACGGCGCTAGGGTTAGGAACCTTGCTCTGATACCATGCAAGTTTTCTTAAGAGAATTAACTCGTATATTCAATTGTTATTGTTTACAAAGAGTTCATCGGTCTGAAAAAGGAAATACACAGATTCATTCCTATTTACGCCACCACAATTTTGCCTAATTCCTAATATACACAAGTTTGCCATATATACATATATTGCCATATATACATAATTCTCACACACCATAGTCTAGAAGGGAAACAAAATGGTACATGATATCTCAAAACAAATAGGAATTATGGTGACATTTATCCCCTTTGATTTAACAAAAAAACAAAAGGCAGAAAAAAATTTACAAGATTGACTTTGAAGCATGTAAAAATATGTAAAATAACACAAAACCAAGAATATATTCACAGAAATATACCTGCCACGTTGGAAATTCTTGTGCCAATCTTCGAGCAAAGGTTCCTGTTACACAAGTCTTCAACATTAATCTATGATGTTCCAAATAAGTCAACAAATTTCCCTTGACAACCAAATACAAAGGTCAAATCAAACCCATGCAAGTCAAAAAAGTCTCTTCAGGATACTAACCTGGAAACAAGATCTGTCACTTTTCACTTCTAATAACAATTCTAATTCAAACAAGATTGTTTGAAGTCTAATAAATTAATAATTAAAGTCATGTCATTAGGATAGTGCATGCTCAACAGGAATTTTTTTTAAAATAAAAAAAATAAAAAATAAAAAAAGAAGCCAATTTGTCTTATCAAAATATTGAGTTGAGAGCATGGACAGAAGGAAGGTCGGGGGCACACATGACATAATCATATAACACTGTATCGTGCAATCTGGGTTTTTTCACAATCACAGGTAGAGAACTGAAATCCAAGACTGCTTTTGGAATAGTTGCAAAAGATAATAAAGTACCTACCCCAGTTCTTCCTGCTACCTAGAATGCCATGCAGAAGAACAGCTGTTGGCGGATCAGGTACTGACTTGTCCATAATATAACTCCATCTTACCTGTGCATCAAAATTATTTTACATATATAACCATGCCCAATAAAATTAACTGGGAGTAAGTTACCAATATTTTCAGCAGAAAAACATCTTTGTATGTCATGTCATAAATGAAAGAAAAAAATTATTAAATAAAAGAAGTACAAAAGGAATTGATCATCTTTGTGAAAACAGTTTCCTTCTAACTTACACACTACTCAAAATCTACCATGTCTTTTAACTTTTTTCTATACAGTTTTATGGCAGTATATCAAACAGTCACATCACATTCTTCAGGAATTGATCATCCCAGAATTCAACATATGAAAACTGGGAATATACTTGTCTAAAATGAACAGATGGACTTCACATCACATTCTTCAGGAATTGATCATCCCAGAATTCAACATATGAAAACTGGGAATATACTTGTCTAAAATGAACAGATGGACTTCACATCACATTCTTCAGGAATTGATCATCCCAGAATTCAACATATGAAAACTGGGAATATACTTGTCTAAAATGAACAGATGGACTTCACATCACATTCTTCAGGAATTGATCATCCCAGAATTCAACATATGAAAACTGGGAATATACTTGTCTAAAATGAACAGATGGACTTCACATCACATTCTTCAGGAATTGATCATCCCAGAATTCAACATATGAAAACTGGGAATATACTTGTCTAAAATGAACAGATGGACTTCACATCACATTCTTCAGGAATTGATCATCCCAGAATTCAACATATGAAAACTGGGAATATACTTGTCTAAAATGAACAGATGGACTTCACATCACATTCTTCAGGAATTGATCATCCCAGAATTCAACATATGAAAACTGGGAATATACTTGTCTAAAATGAACAGATGGACTTCACATCACATTCTTCAGGAATTGATCATCCCAGAATTCAACATATGAAAACTGGGAATATACTTGTCTAAAATGAACAGATGGACTTCACATCACATTCTTCAGGAATTGATCATCCCAGAATTCAACATATGAAAACTGGGAATATACTTGTCTAAAATGAACAGATGGACTTCACATCACATTCTTCAGGAATTGATCATCCCAGAATTCAACATATGAAAACTGGGAATATACTTGTCTAAAATGAACAGATGGACTTCACATCACATTCTTCAGGAATTGATCATCCCAGAATTCAACATATGAAAACTGGGAATATACTTGTCTAAAATGAACAGATGGACTTCAACCCCTGCAGCAGTTTCCATGTTTACCAACCTCAACTATTACCTTGCTATGGTCAGAAAGTATATTTCCATCGTTCATTGTTACAGAAAATAAAGAGAATATGGACTTACAAATTAAAATGTAACTAAGAATGGCTAATATTTGCCTCATTAGTCATGGTTCATAGCAAATTTATTATTATTAGATATTAGGAGAGTATTTGTCTCATTATGTCACATTATGAATAGTGTAAATTCATATTAATAGCAATTTGAAACTGGTGAATCTCTATTTCATTTAAGCACTATTATAAAGCTGCCTATCAGCAGAATATTCAACATTTCAAGGCAAAACTAAGCAAATCTGTAACATTTTATATCATAAATAATAAAATTTCTGAAAGCATGTCAACAAGGAGATAAATCTGTAAGGGAGTTCTAGATTACTCTGACAGGTAAGAAAAACATTCATCTTCGGAGAATCCAAAATGGACAGAAAACAATTCATATCTCTGTAAGGGACTGATAGATTAGTCTGTGAGGGAAAATATATGACTTACATGTGCTCCTTGAACAAGATCGTACGCCTGCATTAAAAACATGTAAAAAATAAAAGACAAGATCCAAAATAGACCGAAATACAGTTCAAACAAAATCAAGCTTCCCCAAGCCTTGCAGCTTGACACTTCTTTTACTGAACTAGACTAATGAATGAAAGGAAGTTTCAATACCAAGATATCGGAAGGCCTGACATCTCTACCATGTGCAATCCTCTCATCTACTAATGTCATACCAATTTTTGAACCTTTAGCAGCCTTCGTTGAGTGACTAAGGCATAACCGAGAGATGTGGAATACGCCATTCTATGACTCACAGGGAGAGAGAGAGAGAGAGAGAGAGTTAAGACAAAAAAATGATCCATATCAAGTGTCAATTTTAATCCTTCCTCACCATATATTGGTTACATAAACTAAACTAAACATAACATTGACATGAACCATAAATTTAGTGTAAAATTTCATGTTGAAATTTGAAACTGCCTAAAATTGGTTTTATCATCTAAATATCATGATTAGACCAAACCCTTATTTGGTTGATCATACAACTAGATAAACTAAAAAATAAAATAAAATAAATAAAATCCAAATTAATTAAAATAACTATGAGTATAACATTCCAATCCCCTCAAAATCAACCTTGCCCTCAAGGTTGGAAATACAAAAATATTACAAAATCCGCCCGAATCCCATACATTTACAAATGTATCAAAATATAACTAAGAGACGTATTACTACTACCTGTGGTGGAGTCAGCACATGCTTAGGAGGGGCCCGTGCCCCCTCTGAAAATTTTTAAACTCAAAAATATTTACAGCGAATCAATGAAATAAATACCTAAAAGAATCATCTCTCTTTCAGGTGATGTTATGCTCTCACTTAGGCTTGTTTTCTATCTCACTCTTAAGTGATGCAATCTTCTTTATTATTTTGCTTTCTTTCTCACTCTCAGGTGGTGCAATTTTATTTATTATTCTTTAATGTTTAATCTTCTTTATTGACATGTTGAATTCAATGTTTAAGATTTGGGTAAAAAATTAGGGTCTATTGATTTTGTTGAATTATGTTGGGTTATTGTTGAATTTTGATAAAAATATATATATGTACTGAATTTATAAATTTGTGGTTTGTTGAATTAGGACATTTCAACCTAATTTATTGAATTTCTAATACTTTTTTGATTGGTGATTTCCATTATTTCAATTTATCAATATAATTTCTTGTCTATTTAGTTACTTCAGTATAGAATAATGTTTGAGAGCCACAATTTATGTGGCTCAAATGGCTCAAAACTGCCAAAACGACGTCGTTTTGACAGTTTTGAGCCATTTGAGCTACAAAAATTGTGGCCCTCTACCATTGCCCCTTCAGTATATATGATTAGTCATTCTTCTATAAAAGACAAAAGCTTCTGGTTAAGTGTTCCCCCTCTACCCTACCAACCCACAACTGAATTCTGGCTTGGCCACTGACTACTACAATAGCTATAACATATCTATTAATCCTAACTGCTAGATAACTCAAACTATAAAACAAAATCCAATTTTTATTTTTATTTTTAAATTTAAATAATTATGACTGCAACACAGAGGCTCCATAATTGTCATTAATTATAAATTATTATCCACAATATACTATCGCTCTATTTGATTCATGAATTTGGTGAGGGAATTGAAAAATGAAAGAGAAAAATTAAGGTAAAATATGAATGAAATATAACTATATTTAACAAACATTTTCCCTTTTCGTTTCTAAATCTCTTTCTAAATTCATAAACCAAACAAAACCTATATGAAAAATGTTTGAGATACCTAATTTATCACACCTAAAAATACCCCTAATGATGTGTCAAACATTCCCTCACGTAGATTTAACCTCAATACCACATAATTAGGGTGGTTTAGGGGTGTTAAATTAGGGAATGTAGCATTGTTGATAGTATATTATCTATAATTTTTATTACTATTCTCATTATTGAACTTACAAAAATAACCCAACACCCCCGATTTGCCTCGCCACGATATGATATGTGGCAGGCAGATTAATACAAACCCGCTCCAAACCCAACCAAACCAAATCCCTAAAACCCACACGAGGCAGGCACAGAGAGCACAATGCAAGTTAAAATGTCAATTGAACCAAATGGGAGAAGCAAACTAACAAATACATACAATAATAATGTATATTGGGACGGTGATGTGATGGTACCTCGAAACGCCTCGAAACCTTGAAAGCCATTGTGGGCACCATTCGATTGATCCCAGAAACGGACCCAATGCCTAGAAATCCATTGTCTGCTGAAGCAACCGATGATTCGGCCCCAAAATTTGAAATCACCGACGACATTTCACCACCAAAACCAACAACAGGTCCTTTCGATTCTCTATTGGTTCTGTGACTTATGTATATTTATGCTGAATCAAAATACAAGTTTAATTGTTGAATTTGAATTGGAGAGATGTTGTCGGAGATCAAACAAAGAGTGTTTCGGAGATTTAGGATGAGAGAGAGAGAGGGTTTGAGCAGGGTGACGGAGACACCGAAGCGTACGGTGGTGTTGGGTGTGGGGAGTGTCTCTTTCTCAGTTTTTGTGGTTCGCGGACATGGAAGTGACGTGGTGTGGTGCGGTGCGGTGTGGTGTGGTGTGCAAGTAAACAGATCGATGGGCTGGTGGTGATGGTAGTTCGGCGGAGATTACGTGGCTACGCTGAGCAAGGATTCTCTCCGTGGTCTCTACTTAACTCCCTCGTTTAACGGCTCAAATCACTTGATTAAAAAAAATTTTAAAATTAAAAGGTAATTTTTTTAAAATGATCTCAACCAATAAATTTTCTTAAGATAAATTTTAACCATCGCAATGAGAGTGAAGTAGAAAAAAAATGAGAGGATCGTTGCTCGGCTACCCTACCCATCTCTCGTAACAAAAATGCAATAAATCTCACCATCTTTTGTTTCATTTAAATTTGAATAAAAATTTGAATAATACTTTCTTTGTTTTTATATCAAATATTTTAACAGAGTTTCATTAAATTATCAATCAATTGGCCGGAAGTTTGTCTTGTCAATCGATTGGAGTGTAAATTTTGATCAATTAGGACTATTTTGGGAAGTTAACTTTTAGTAACTTTTTTTAATTGGTAGCAAAAGTTAAAAATTGGCTTTTTTGTCTTTTTTTTTCATTTGGGAAGTTGGTTTTTAGCCAACGGTGAAATTACAATTTTGCCCTCATGGGTCAAAATGTGTTACATAGGTGAAGTTGTAAATATTTCAAATAAATATGGATAGTTTGGTCATTTTATTATGATTTGACATCATAAACGTTTATTAATCAAAAAAGTCAAAAGTCACTTTTTACTAATTTCTCAAATCATTTGTCTAAAAAAGCCAAAAGCTTGGTTAAAAATCAAAAAGTCACTTTTTACCATCTTCCCAAAACAACCCTTAGTATAAATTTTTGTCTTTAGGCCATTCGGAGACATTTGAAAAATATTTAGGGGTGAAAATTCAAAGGTAATAAACAGTGATTTGATAAAAGATACATTTGTTTTCAGTCTGATGGAAGATTTGAGAAATTTTATATTTCATAATTTATTTGATGAACGGTTGGAACAATAAAAAGTAAATTTTTTTATCAAATTTAAATTTGATAATCTATTTGATGAACCATTAAAGATAGCCTTACAAATCTTGAATATATACCGAATTAAAATTGTGTGATTAAAATTAAATTTGTATGGTACAAAATCTATGTATAAAATAAATCAAAATCACAAATATAATTATTTTGGATGGTTAATTATGGGTTTGTAATATTAGTGCCTTATTAAACCTAGCTCGTGACTGTTACACCAACGATGTCGGTTAAAATTTGGATAATTTATAAAGGTTTTTTTTTTGGTTAATGTGTGCACTTAAAATATATAGGCCCTGTTTGGTAGAGCTTATTTTCAGCTTATTTCAGCTTTTAACTTAATTTAAGCTATTTTGATGTGTTTGGTTCAACTTAATAATACAGCTTATAACTTTTTGTAAGTCAAAAATCAACTTATTCTTTGAGTGGTGGAGGAGAAACTTAATTTATAAGTCAAAAATTAACTTATGTTCATAGTTATAAGCTATAAGCTGTTAGACTATAAGTTATAATCATTTTCTCACAGTTCTACCAAACATGGTCATAATGGTGTTTTGAGAAGTTGGTAAAAAGTTAATTTTTTGACTTTTTTAGTCTATTTTGTCTTTTTGTTGTGAGAGGTAATGTGATCCAAAATAGGTAAAATGTTAAAAGCTAGCTTTTTACTCCCTTGCCAACGCATCCCATATCAAGAGCAATGCTATAGACCACTAATTTACCATCACTAATACCCCCACTAGTGAGGTGGCAATTAAAAAAAAAAAAAAAAAAAAAAAAAAAAAAAAAAAGTACAAAACACATTAGAGTCACCACTAATTAGTGGTCTAAAGCATTTTTGTTAAATATGCTTTGTCTATTTGTATATGGAAAATGGTTGAGACTACTAATTAGTGATAACACTAATGATGTGACAGTAGGCCTCACCTACTAGTGGGCCTCACCCACTGCCATAATATTGTTGTGCTTTAATTTTTTTTTTAAAGTGTATACCAACTCACTAGTAATATTTTAAAATACTATTTTTAATGTTATGTATCATTGTCGTTGGTATATTATACTATAATACTTTTTAAAGTGTCATTATCATTTGCACACATGTTAACTAGGGATGGCAATTTGAACCCGGCCTGACGGGGACTAGACCCCCCGATCCCGATTTGAGCTGTTTTTTCCCGAAAAATATCCCCAACAGAACGGGGATGGTATTTAAAATTCAATACCCGATCAGTTTCGGGCCGGGGACGGGGATATGTGTCCCAGCCCCGTACCCGGCCCGTCCCCGGCCCCGTCCCTGCTGGTCCCCGAAATGAATTTACCATTTTACCCCTATATATATATAAAAACCAAACCTTCTCACACTCACACTCACCACCACGTCTCTCATATCCCTCCCTCTCATTCTCTGTGTCCCTCTCCCTCTCACTCACCACAGCGTCTCTCATCTCCCTCTCTCTCACTCTCCGTGTCCCTCTCCCTTTCCCTTTTACTTTCCCTCTCCCTCACTCACTCACTTTGATTTCTCTCCCATTCTCTCATTTCTCGTTATCATCATCATCATCGTCCAGATCCACGGTGATTTCTCTCTCATTCTCTCACTCCTCGTTATCATCATGATCATCCAGATCCACCACCGTGAAGCCACCGATCTGAACCGTGAAGCCACCGATCTAACAGATCGTGGTCCGTGAATCGTCAAGCCAAGCCACTGATCTGTGCATCTCTTTTCCTCTCTCTCTCTCTATATATATGTGTGTGTGTGTGTGTGAGAGATAGTGGTCTTCCTTGCCATTGTTCCCTGTATTTGGTTATGGAAATAATAATCTATATATAGATCTGTGTGTGTTCTAGATCTGTTGTCCATATATATACAGATTAATTTTTTTTAGATCTATTGTTGTATGGGTGTGTGTGTTCTAGATCTGTTGTAGATTGTTGTCCATATACATTTTTTTTTTTGTTGAACAGATTTGTGTGTGTGTGTGTGTGTTGAACAGATCAGTGTGTGTGTTGTGAATAGGTCTGTCGAGGATTTTTCGGGGTCGGGGAAACCCGATCCCCGTTAGGGGACGGGGACGGGGACGGGGGCGGGGGAGGAGATGCCTTCCCCGTCGGGGATCGGGGCCGGGGACGGGGATTTTTTAACCTTCGGGGATCGGGGACGGGGAGGGGTCAGGGAAACCCGATCCCCGTTAGGGGACGGGGACGGGGACGGGGGCGGGGGAGGAGATGCCTTCCCCGTCGGGGATCGGGGGCGGGGACGGGGATTTTTTAACCTTCGGGGATCGGGGACGGGGAGTGTCATCCCCGGCCCGTTGCCATTCATAATGTTAATAGGATGTATTTATAAGTCATCGTTTGGGAGGACGCGTTGGGGGTGAGTTTTGGTTAAAATAGTTACAAAAAATAAAAAATAAATTTTTTAGTTTCAAGTTAAAACATATTATATCTAATTCATAATTATTTTATTTATTTTTTTCATAAAAATAAAAAAAGTCAAAAAAATCTATTCAAAAGGTGTTTGGCAACAAAAATTTTAGCCTCTTTTAAGTTAAAATTTACAAAAAGATAAAATATGTTTAAATAATTAATAAAACAAAATGTCATATCAAATCCATAATCATTTTACTTTTTTCTCTCAGTGTTTTAAAAAGATAGTTAAAAGTTATTTTTTAACTTTTTTGTAGGAGAGGAAATGGATTAAAAGCTGAGAAATGACTTTTAACATACTTCTCAAAACATATGCAAATATCATATCCAACTACAAAAAAATTCAACTAACTTCTCAAACATAAATAAATTTAGCCTATTAAAATAGTCAAAAATTAAAATAGCTAAAAACTAAAATAACAACTTCAAATATCTATTTTTTAACTCCAGATTAAAATAACCAAAAAATAACTCTCATCACAAACGAACTCTAAATAAGTAACTTGTTTAAAATAGGAACTATTTATAATTCAAGAAATTACATCATCTCTCTTCAAGTTTTTTATTATATAACAAATGATCATTTTTATTAATAAATTATAAAGTCAATTAATATTTTTTAATAATATTAAAAATATTTTTTAATTAATAAATCAGGTAATTTTATTATTGTGTAAAATAATTGTTAGAAATTTTATTTTTCCTATTAATTTTATTAAATAAAAAATTATAATAAAAGTGATATTTGCAATTTTTAAAATTATAGAGGACAATCTGTATTTTAAACAAATTTAACGTGGTGTATTTGTATTTTACTCTAAAAAATTTAGACAAAATACACTAATTTATAACTAAGAGCAAGTCTAATAGAGATGAATAATAAGTTATTTAAAATTGTGTTTAAATTTAATTTATTAACATAATAATTTGATATTGAATGAATTTTTGATGAGATGAATATAAATCAAATTTTAATACTTTTGTTTGTTTATAGTATATATAAATTTATCGAGTTAAGTAGTAAATGGTTCAATGTTTGTTCGAAAAATTTAACAAAATTAAAATTTGATTAATTTACTTAATGAATCAACATTAAACAAAATTTTAACTAATTAAATGCGCGTCAAAATTAACACAAATGAAATATGTCATAGGGTGTTTGTGTTTAAGAAAGAGTAGTGATATCCCATCTAAAAAAAGAAAAAAAGAAAGAGTATTGATAGGTTACTTGAAATAAATATGAGTAAAAATTTTATGAAATTTTGATTTGGAATGATCTAAATAAGTTTATTTTTTGACTTTTTTATAAAAAGATGTGTAGAAAAATAAAGAGGTGATATTACCCAAAAAATATAAAAAGATAAAAAGTATGTACTTATTAATTTATGCCAAATTAATATGGTAGGTTTAACTAGTCTAATTGAATTTTGTTTAAAAATTTAAAAATTGGACATAATTATTTAATAAATTCATTAAAATGAAAATAATCTAACTAAAAAAGACAAAAGCAATTCCTAAAACATTGGACATGTTTGGTTGGGTAGTCCAAAGTTTTTTTTTTTTTGGTGGGGTTTTTTTTAATCTGATAATTGTATCATTCGAAACAAATTCAATTGAAATGGAATTAAATTGGGAAATATAGGGATAAAGCTAACATAAGGAACTAATTTGATAATTATATTACTAATAATACTTTTTTCTATAAAAATTAGCAAAGCTTCTACTATTGATCCCAACAAATGAAAGCTAAGGTAACATATGTAACACAAAACAAACAAATTGAGAGAGAGAGAGAGAGAGTCAAAGGAGGGTGATGAGGATGAAAAGAAGAAGAGCAGCAATGAATGAATACTTGAGAGCTGCAACAATTATAGCCACTGATATGAAGAACAGTTGCCACAACACTTGCACACTCGCCCATGCCAGTAACCCCGTCAATCCAACGGCCAATATGTTATCAGGATCTGGGTCCAGCAACAGATCTCCCCATCTCAGATTAAACGCTGGCTGTCCATTCCTCCTCTTCCTCTCCTCCTCATCACCAACATTTATCTTCTTATTCTTGTTGTCAATGCCATCATCATCTTCATTCTTTTCTATCTCCTCCTGCTCCTTGGGATCTGCGATCGGCTCATTATTCCCATTCTCTGCAGCGACCACAATTTTTCTGGGTTTTCTAGGGTTTTTTCCTTTCTGAAATTGGGATTTGAGAGTTGAAGATGGTGGTAATTTAGGGTTGGTAATAGGGGGAAGAAAAATAGGGAGGGGTTTGGGTTTGGGTATTGATGGGATTGAAATATTATTGATGGGGGGTTGGTAATGGGATTGTATGGAAGCAGCAGCAACAGAGTACGCAAACATGTTTTCCTGGGAAAATGGATTCCGAGAAAATAAAACCCAGTGAATGCAAAGCAAAGAAAGGTGTAAAGCCGCAATCTAGAAAGACTAGAAAAAATTGATATTTGTCGAAATGGTAATTTTTTAGTGGTAAATTTTTAAGGACAAATACATGGATTGTTTTGAAAAGTACTAAAATAGGTAATTAAACATAGGAGTCATCAAATACTTATTGAAAAACAAATCGATTAATGCTGTGTTTGGTTGGGAGATTTACGGAGGGATTTGGAAAGGGAAAGGGAAAAGGTGTGTGAAACTATGTGAAATATAGGCATGATTTATTCACATTTCACCTACCTTTTTCATTTCTCTTTCCAAATCCCTCCACAAATCCCCCAACCAAACACAGCATAAGAGTGAGGGGTGGTGTTGATACCCACCCACTTTCATTCTCTACCATACAAATAGAGAATATATATATATTGGTCTCCGGTCTCTAGAAGTGAATGTAGATAATCACTATATTATTATCGATGTGGAGACACTTATAAAATAATCTTACATATAGGCAGGGTTAGTGAGATTAAGGTCACGTTTGTGAATAGTTTTTTTAATATTTTTTTAATTAAAATATAAGATAAAAAAATTAATATATTTAAAATAATTTTTTACTTAAAAATAAATAAAAAGTAGAGAGTAAAAAAAACTCTAACTTTCTAGTATATATTATCAATTTTTTAATAATTTTTTATTTTTAAATTAAAAAATAATATTGTCAAACAAGATTTCAAATGAGTTTTTGAACACATATAGATAAAATTTAGGAATATTTACATGTAGGTCATAATAAATTGACTTATTGTTTAATAAGTCTTATAGAAAAAATTTATCATAAAAAAAGTCACTAATTATAAATTTAACGGCAATTTATAAAAATTATTAATAAAAAAAAGAGTCACTAATTGTCAATTTTTGACGACATATATAAAAAATTATCGCAAAAAAATTATTTTTAACGACAATTTTATTAAGATTTATTTTCAATAAGACTTGATGAAAATTAAGTCTAATTATTAAAACCTTTTGATATTTCCAAAATTTGAATCTAAACTAATAACAAAAATGAGTCACTATTCATCACCAGCAATAATATAAATAAATAATCTCTTAAAACAACAATAAAAATTTAACATGGAATTATAAATCCATAAATAGTATGAAACTAATGAAAACCTTAATTTTTTGAAGCTTCAAATCAAAGTCCAATTTTTTTTTTTTAAATTTCAAATCTACTTTCTCAATCAAAATCCTAGCTTTATAATCTAGATTTAAAATTAGATTTCGAGTTTGGAGGAGGAACCTGGTTCAATCTATGGCGTGAGAGAGCTCCAGCGGACAACAATGGCCGATGGACGGTGGTCGCCGGTGGAGAACGGCGACGGTGGCTGAGATGGTTAATCGATGCGTCTCTCTCTCTCCCTCTCTCTCTCTCTTCGCTTGCTGTCTCTCTCCTCTTTCACGCTTTCAGCCAAAATTTGGTTTTAATTTTTAATTTTTATTTTTAATTTTTTTTAATGAAGTGAACTGAGCCGCCCATATCAGTTAAAAAACCCTAAGTACTACCCACAAAAAAAATCCCACAAAAAAAACCCTCTAAGTATTACCAGAGGCTTCCAAAACGCCAAGGGCTTTTGGGGGATTTCCATTTTGTTCTTCTGAGTTCAGAAAAAAGGAAAAGAAATCTCTCAATTCATATAACTGTGGCAGGTGGGTCTCCATTTTCCTCCACACTCACTTTCTCTTTTTATTTTGTAAATTTTTCCTTTTTCGAATTCTGTCTGTTGTTTGGTATCTAAGTAAATGTAGGGTTGTAAAACTAAATGAAAGAAAATGTTTGAACGTCTTGGTTTTTGGTGCTCAACTGGTAGGAAAGAAAAACAAGTCATTCAGTTGTTTTTCCTGTCATTCAATTGCTGAAATAATAAAATGGTCTTATTCACAATCCCACTCTATAACTTACAAAAAAGAAAAACTAATTTTGTATTTAACTTCTCACATAATTTGTTTCTGAGAGCATCTACAATGCTCACTCCCTTAATCAATTCGAGCGAAAATTTGTTTAAAAGTTTGATCAGATGTGGAATACTCTAATCCTTATATTTTTTCAAAAAAAATCTCAATTTATCCTAAAACCCTGTTTTGACCATTTTTTATGAAAGAAAATCATCTCCAATCCTATTTTAAAATTTCATCAAATTTAATTAAAAGTATCACTGTTGAAAATTTGGTGAAGGATTTGGTTCATCATTTTAGTGAACAGTTTTGCCTCTCCCTTGATTTGATACAAGTTTGATGAAATGATTGGAGCTTACTAATTCATCAAATATGAATTCGATGAAAGAATTGATGAAGGATGGGAGATACTCTGAGGTTTAGAATATAAGTAATGTATTGAGTTGAAAACTTTCATGCAGAAAGTGTAATTGTAAGCTTAGGATTCCAAGTGCTTCATGAGATTTGTTAAAGTCTTTGCATACGCAGTCATTGTTTGTCTTGTCAAATTAATTTTTTCAGTATCTTGATTGACAATTTTCCTTACTGTAGCACATCTCTGTTTGCAGGAAAACATCAAAGAGCTCTAGTTGGTACGGTAGGTTTGTTAGTTAAATGAACTAATCCTTAGTCTTGAGAAGAAAAGAAGCTGACTGACCTGTTACCAATCTTTGTAGTATAGTGTTGCATACGTGTTTCCAGTCATGTGGTCGGTACCCACCTGCTGCGTTTTTACACATAACACATACATCTCTAGTGTATGCCGTCTTCTTCATGTTATTTGCTACCCAGAGGCCTTTCTCTCTCCCAAATCCAGAAATTCATCCCTAAGAAATGGAAACAAAGTGTCAAACCATCAGAAACTCAAAACACTAACCCGTCTGACTTATATAATTACCGAGATTCATTGCTAGTAGCATCTCCAACCAGTGAACTTGATGGTTATATGGTTGATTCTCTTCGCACATCTCTCAAAGATTTTGTTGCCAAAGGCCATCTGTTTCAAGCCTTCCAGACCTTCACTCTCCTCCAATGCCATTCTTCTTCTTCTTATTGTATTTCTTCTGACCTTATTTTGCATTCCATATCTTCTCTTTTGATATCTTGCACCAACTTAAAGTCACTTTCACAGGGTAAACAACTCCATGCCTATATTATATCTTCCGGTTTTGAAGAACATCCCATATTGGTTCCGAAGCTGATTACCTTTTACTCAACCTTTAATCTCTTTGCTGATGCCCATGTTATTACTGAAACGTCAAAAATATTGCACCCTTTGCCCTGGAATTTGCTTATCTCTTCTTATGTTAGAAAGGGGCTTTCTGGGGGGGCTCTATCTACCTATAGACAAATGGTGAACAAGGGAATTAGAGCCGATAACTTTACTTTCCCATCAGTTCTCAAGGCTTGTGGTCAAGAACAAAATATGGATTTTGGGAGGGTGGTTCATAAGTCTATTGATGCTAGCTGCCTTGAGTGCTTGTTTGTGCAAAATGCTTTAGTCTCCATGTATGGGGCGTGTGGGGAAGTTGATTATGCTCGGAAGCTGTTTGACAAAATGCCTGAAAAGGATGCAGTTACTTGGAACTCAATGATCTCTGGATATGCCTCCAAGGGTATGTGGGGAGAAGCTTTTGAGCTTTTTGAAGGCATGAGAATGGAGGGAATAGAATTGAATATCATAACATGGAATACCATAGCTGGAGGGTGCTTGAAAACAGGAAACTATATTTGGGCACTTGAATTGCTTTCTCAGATGGTGACTTGTGGCATTCTTCTGGATTCTGTTGCAGCACTTATTGGTTTGGGAGCATGTTCCCATGTGGGTTTATTAAAATTGGGGAAAGAGATTCATTGTGTAGCTATTCGTAGTCATTTTGCTGAGTTTGATAATGTAAAAAATGCTTTGATCAATATGTATGCCAGGTGCAAAGACCTTGGGCATGCAAATATTTTGTTCTGGTCAGTAGAAGCTAAAAGTGTAATTAGTTGGAACTCCATTATTTCGGGTTACACGTATTGGGACTGCTCTGAGGAAGCCTCCTTTCTATTTAGGGAAATGTTGCTTTCTGGGATTGAACCTAATTATGTGACAATCGCAAGTGTTCTTCCCCTCTGTGCCCGTGTGGCAAATCTGCAACATGGTAAGGAGTTTCATTGCTACATTACAAGGCATGCAGGGTTCAAGGATTATTTACTACTGTGGAATGCTCTTGTGGATATGTATGCCAGATCTGGAAAAGTTTTACAAGCAAAAAGACTGTTTGATTTGTTGAGCAAGAAGGATGAAGTGACTTACACTTCATTAATAGCTGGGTATGGGATACAAGGAGAGGGACATGCTGCAGTAGAACTATTTGAAGAGATGATCAGGTGCCAGATAAAACCGGACCATGTAACCATGGTTGCTATTTTATCAGCATGTAGTCATTCGGGTCTTGTAATCCAAGGTCAAATGCTATTTAAAAAGATGCTGCACGTCTATGGTTTAACTCCGAGACTGGAGCACTATGCTTGCATGGTTGATCTCTTTGGTAGGGCTGGTTTACTGAAGAAAGCAGAAGGGATTATCACAAGGATGCCTTACCAGCCAAGCGCTGCAATGTGGGCCACTCTTATTGGAGCATGTTGCATCCATGGAAACACAGAGATAGGGGAATGGGCAGCTGAGAAATTGTTGGAAATGAGGCCTGAAAATTCAGGATACTATGTTCTGATTGCTAACATGTATGCTGCTGCTGGATGTTGGAACAAGTTAGCTAGAGTGAGAACTTTCATGAGGGACTTAGGTGTGAGAAAGGCTCCAGGCTGTGCTTGGGTTGCTGTGGGTTCTGGATTTTCTCCCTTTTTGGTGGGGGACACATCAAATCCCCAAGCACACGAGATTTACCCTTTATTGGGGGGATTGATCAAGCAAATGAAAGATGCTGGTTACGTTGTTGCAGAGGATGTTGATTTAGATAATGAATTTGAGCAATATAATCAGCAACAATACTTCTGTTAGAAAATTAAGTTGTTGCATATTTCATGCGCATTGTCCTCAAGAGCCTTCTGAAATGCCATTCTTGGTCCGTATGGTAATAACCTTGAAAATTTATGAAATTTAAATAGTCTTCATTTTCTTTTGGTTTTCTTTCATAAGTATTATAGATAGTTGTTTTTTGGCCTTCAATGAAGTTATTTATTTTATTAGTTATGGTTATTTTTTTTGTTTGACGGCCAAGTTTGGGATGTTCCCAAAAAGCCAAAAAGTCAAAAAGTTACTCAAAAAGTTAAAAAGTTAACACTATTCACAAAAAGTCAACAATTACGGCTGCACAACTCCCAATTCAAATCTTTTTTTAGAGCTAGATTTGCACATAAACATGTGGCTTACTTTTATTCCACATGTTCATTAACAGGGAGGATTGGTTTATATGTTTAGTATATAAAAGTTTTACACAATCCGTTTCATATGCCTCAGTGCACCATATTTGTGGATTAATTGTGAGAATTGGTTTTATGCTTAGTGTATGAGGATTTCGTTTAATATGTTATGTTTCGAAACCTATTTATGGTCACATGCCTTTGTGTGCCATACAGACATGTATGGCTTCTATTTCGTTTAATATGTTAGTATTTTTTTTCTTCTCTGTTTTGGACCTGAGATTCTTATTTCAATGGTCTAGTGGATCTGTTTTAGGGTTTAGCTATTTTTGTAGGCTTTAGAAGTTAGCTTTTTCGATAGGCGTTAGCCTTCTCAATTTTCTTTTCCTTTTTTCATGACTGTCTCCTATATTTAGCCTTCTCAATCTCATCCAAATATATTTCACTTTCCCATGAACTATCTCACAACTCCCTTTCCACTAAAAAATAAAAAATTAATTGACATGCTGTGATAAGTTTCAAAACCAGGAGTATCCCACTTTGTAAGTTGTCGAGATGTTCAATTTGAAATGCTTTTACTTAAGATGAAGACTACAGATGCTGAGGAAATTACGATTTAAGACTGATAAAACTACCATATTTCTCTTACAATTTACTTTGTGGTTCGTCTTTCTGTAGTTAGTATAATTTCTGTTCAATGAATGTAATGTTTTATGCTTTTGTAGGAATTCACTATTCAAAGCTTGCAGGAGACTACCTCATTACACTTTATTGAATGGTTCTTCAGTTCTTGTTGCTTTACAGATTCTTTGCCAGATTCAGGTACAGAGGTTAGTGAAACATAATACTAAGGTGAAAAGATACATTTGTTGTCAGAACATATGGAAATAGCAAAGTTGCCTAATTGTTGGTCTGATTGTTAATTTTGTTCTTTTCTCAGCATAACTGATTAGGAAGTACATATCATTGAGGTTCTTTATTGAATATAATTTAAGAGGAATTTTGGGTCATTGGCATGTACATCACCGGTTCCAATGTAATTACTGTGTGATGTCAGTTTTGTGATTCTCTTCCAAATGTGTTGGAGATTATGTAACAATTAATTGTTTACTGGAGAAACAAGTTACTGACATTGTGGTTATGATGACATGGCAACAATTTTATGGAGAAAAAACGAACCTTTTTACTTACCAAAAAATAAAAATAAAAATGAACTAGCTTGAGTTTTTAAATAAGTGCATGTGCCTATGTACTCTGAGTCAACCTTCAATGAAAAAATTTATTTATTTTACTTTTATTTTTATTTTCTCATTGGCTGAGCAAGATAATCTACCACGAACTATGAACAATGTGAAACGCAAGAACTAGCCTTTTGACTGTTATAGGACTCCTCTGAGAAGCCTGGTAAGGTGCTTGCTAGGCTTTCCGAGGCTTGCCTAGGTGGGTTATTAGGCATGTGCTTGGATGAATTTTCTATTGAGGAGCCTGTTAGCATGGTTAGATTAGTACTAAATTGTGATTTTTGAAACTTTACCCATCCAGAGTCCTGATGGCTACTTGATGAGATCTACTTTTTTGCAAACTGCTGAGTTTGTTGTCACCAGAAAAATTAGCCGTCAAAATTTTCTTGAAAACTCTTTTTAATGAAAACCAAGGAAGATTCTCACAATGTCATATATTCTTGTAATCACTTTGTTTTTGTGTATATACTATACGAGAATATCTGATGTATTGCCAGCTTAGTTGTCCACAAATTATGTTTAATGATATTCTGTTTCTGTTGTTTTCATTGGCACAAAATCTACTGCAAGGAATCAATCTGTAGTACAGTCCAAAACTCACTCATTCTTTTGACAATGATATCTAGAAGCTGAACGTTGCACATGAGCACTCTTTTTGGATATAAGAAAAAGTTCTGTGTTTTTTTCTATGTTACATGGACTCGGGTACGGGTGTCGGGTGCGGGTATGTATCTAGAGGTCGGACTCATCAAATCATAAATTTAAGGATACTGCAAGTTTTTCAATTCTGATTGCGATAGGATTTCTCTTTCATCCATCACGTAAGTTTCAGTACCAAAAGTCCTAAGTACTCAAAATTGTGTGTTACTGTAGCAAAACCCATTGTTATTTTGTAATAGAGCTACATGATATATGTTGACGTAATCGAAGTGGCTTTTATGGGTGTTCAGGTTGATCATCTATAGTGTCAAAATGACATTTATAGCAATTATATAACAATATATACATATAATAATAGTGTTATATACAATTATATAAGAAGTATCCGTTGAAAAGTATCCGACACATATCCCATACCCTTGTCCGAGTGTCGAGTGTCCGACACGGGTATTTGATTTAATTTGAAGAGTCCATGTAACATAGGTTTTTTTAACCATCTTATCTTCTTTTTTTGACAGTTTTGGTCATTTTGAATTTTAAGTACCAATTCTGCAAGTTTTTCAATTCTGATTGCGATAGGATTTCTCTTTCATCCATCACGTAAGTTTCAGTACCAAAAGTCCTAAGTACTCAAAATTGTGTGTTACTGTAGCAAAACCCATTGTTATTTTGTAATAGAGCTACATGATATATGTTGACGTAATCGAAGTGGCTTTTATGGGTGTTCAGGTTGATCATCACTCAATGAAATGGGAAGGTATTTTTAAAGAGCAATTTTATGTCTGTTGTGCTCACTCTTATCACCTTCATTATATTATACTATTAACCGATTCTTCTCTTTCATTATTTTTTTTGATAATGTTTGGAGAGGATTGAGCTTGGGCCTTGATTTTGATCAAGGCAATCAACTGTTCATTCAGGACTGGTTCATGGATTGGATTCATCATCCTCCTAACGAAATCATTATCATTCAATCAGTTGTTTCATTCTATGGGATCTGTGACAACACTGCAACCAACTCACATTGATCTTATGTCATATCTGTGATGGGTGAATTTGCTGGAATCTGTGACTATTGGTTAAAATTATGTACTGTTCTGCATTATTTGTGTGTAAATTCTCTAAAATTGGCCTAACATGTGCTCAAAATTAAAAAAAAAGGTGAAATATTCAGGCAAAATCTGGGGGCTAGAGTTTTGTTTAACACTACTGTTGCAATGGGTGTAATCGAGGAAGCAAAGTGCTCATCAGTTGGGAGACCTGTTTCACCGCAATAAAATCCACATTTGAACTCTGCACATTGAAGGTTAGTTCATTTCAGAACTTCGTTTGAAATATTGCCTTGTAGCCTTCGTTTGGGATGTGAGCTTGGGGTTAAAAAGTCTCATTTGTGATGAGTCTTTTTAATTTTTGTGAGAGAAAAAATGAAATGATTATGGTTTGAATGTGACATTTTGTTTTATTGGCTTTTTAGCGTATTTTATCTTTTTATGATTATTTTAGCCCAAGAAGAGGATGCCAAACATAGCCTTAGGGTAGATCGGAAGGTTGAATGTTATGTCACATTGTATGACATTTTGTATGTCTCTGTTAGATTTTACAATTTCAATATCCTTGACACATTCTGAAATCCTTATTCTAATTTATTAAAATTTGATGTACAATAATAAAAAATTAAATCATTTGGTTCCCTCTCATAAATAGAAAAAGTTCCAAGACTACAACTAATTTACGGTTTTCTAAGGGGAAAAAAAAAATCTTTGCATGCCATTGTGCTCTCTCCCTCACTCTGACCATAAACTTCTCTCCCCCTCTGCGATGCTTGCGGACTCAATTCTTGTCTCTCCAAGTAAAGTTATTCGTTGCAATTTGTTTTAGGTTACACCTAAACAATTCGTTGAGTGGGAGCGAGGGCCTTTAACATTGAGAAAGCATGAATTGGAAGTATGTTCAAGAACATCTCTACTGAGATTGGAAGTGACATTGTTAAAATACCGAAACTTTTGATTTTTCATGTTTATTTTTTCATAAAATTGATTTTTTTGAAATTGTTTCATTGAGATTTATCTAAGGTGCTCCAAAGTTTCTCTTTGAAGTTTACTTTTCAAATAGAATTTCAAAGTTTGTCTCTTTACTGAATGGAGAAATTTCTTTGTTAGTTCAATTTGTTTTGAAAAATCAAACAACCATTTTGTTCGTTCGTTTGTTTTTGTTTTGGTTTTTGGTTTTTTAAAATAAATTGAATACTAATAACAAAGGAATTTCTTTGTTAGTTCAATTTATTTTGAAAAATTCCAACCCACCACCACCAACCACCAATTTCTTTATTGAATTGCAATTTTCTCAGTTGAACAGAGTAGTAATTTTTTCAAATCTGTGTTTTGCTGAATGGATGTATTTATTAATTTTTTTTCCTGTTGAATAAAGAAATTTGAGAATTTCTTTGTTCTATAGACATAAAAATTTAGGGCAAATTATAAGCATCCTCTCGAGGTTCGGTGAAAATACAGAGCCTCCTTAAGGTTTGAGAAATTACAAACAGCCCCTTGAGATTTATATTTTAATAACAAATAGCCCCTTGAGGTTTTTATTTCATACAGATTTTTTCCTAATTTTTCCTAATTTGTTATGAAATTTTGACCTTTAGGGGGCAATTTGTAATTTCTCAAACCTCAGGAGAGAATTTGTATTTTTACCAAATCTTGAGTGGGGTGTTTGTAATTTGTCCAAAAATTTATAATCTTTAAGGCAAATTACCTATACCTCCCTTGAGATTTAACGAAATTACATACTCCTCTTGAGGTCTTAAAAATTACATCTCTTCTTATCGCAATTAACACTGTTAACGGATATCATAAATTGACTAAAATGTCATTTTGCCAAATAAGGGCAAATTATTTACATCTCTTGAGATTTAGTTAAATTATAAATTTTTCCTGAGGTTTAGTTAAATTATAATTTTTAAATAAGTTACGAAATGCAAAATTAAAATAGAAAAACATTTGTCACAATACAAAAAATTAAGGTTTTAGAAACTAAAGTTTTGGGGAAAGAAAATATTTTTTGAAGATTAAATATTTTAATTGCGAAAAGTGTCATTATATTTTTAGTAACGAAAATTGAACATTAGTAATTAATTATTGTCTTTTTGGTATCAAATTTTGTCTTAAAAAATAAACCATTTTGAGACCAAATTATTTTGTCCTTAAGGCTATGTTTGATTCACAAGACTGAAAGTGACATATTAATAATCCTATTAAATTAGTGGGGTATTTACTATCCAATTGAATTAATAGGATAAATTATCTATTGGATTAATAATCCCACCCCTACTCCATTATTAATAATCCTACAAATTTGTTGGATTAATTATCCATTAATCCTGAACCAAAATGTTAAAACAAGCATAGGATAATTGGGCTCACGGATTAATAATTTCAATCACCTACACTAATCAATCTAATCAAACATGCCCCAAAAGTCTATTTATTATTGACCTTTTTGAAATTTTATTGTTAAAAATCTTATTTTTTACTTTTCAGGACGACTTTTTAGTAACTATCCTTACAACGATAGAAATTAGTCTCTAAATGTCTTTTGCAACAAAATTTTCACTTTTAGATATCAAAAAATTGGTCGCTAAAACTCTTATATATTGTAGTGTTAGATGATGAAAATATCATAAAATTAACAAATAATTAAATAAGTTAAAAACACAAGAAATGGCTTGTCAAATTTTTTTTTTCAATATGTTTTGTTTGATTTTGAGAAATTTATTTTAAAAAAATTAAAAATTAATTTGATTAAGGAATAAAAAATAAAAAATAAAAAATAAAAAATATTTTTATATAATTTTATCTTTTGAGTCTTTAGAAATTCATATTTATTTTTACTAAATTAGTTTTTTTTTTATAACAAATGGTTTCAAATTTTTTTTTTTTTTTTCCACCTAGCTTAATTCTTTTGTAAATTTTGTTAATTTATCAAAGGGATTTCAGCAAGCGCAATATCGTCCATCAATTTATATTTTGATAATGTCAGCTAATCATTCTTAACGTTTAGTTAACGGTAGAAATTAAATTATTATGCGAATATAAATCTTAAAGGCATGATGTAATTTTTGAAATTTTTTTTTAAAAAAATTATAATTTAGTTAAACCTTAAAAAAAGTATAGGTAATTTGCCCAAATCTTTTAAAGCTCGGTGAGCTGTACCACTTATGATTCGATGTGTTTGAGTCATATTTCTAAACACATTGCATATTGTGATTGAAAATGAGTGTATTTGGGTCGGTGAGATGAGATAAGAAAGAAAGAAAGAAAGAAAACTTATTTTGAAAGAAGTGAAAATATAATTATATTTTTTTTAATTCCTCATTTTGAAAATTTAAAAGCCAGAAAATTTGGTTTTTATTTTCAATTTTAAAAAATAATAATTAAAGAATTACCAAATGGGCCCCACATTATTATTATTTACTCATAAACCAGTAGATTGTTTTAGGAATATAATTAAAAGTAAAATTTTGATTGTTTTAACTTTTTTGAATTATATTTTTTAAATTTTTTTTATATATTTAAAAAAATCAAAAAAATTTAAAAATTAATTTTTAATCTACTCCTTAAAACATTACTATCAAAAGAACGAAAAATTATAAGTTAGGTATGATTAATCATTCACTAACTCCAATAATCTTTCCCCAACTCCGAGAGAGAGAGAGAGCTTTAGCTTAGCACGAGGAACGCGTTCAAAGCTAGTTTATTATTGTCGGGCATTATTATACAGAGAAATTGTTGAGTTCTTTTATAATTTATTAATTGACATATTCTTAAAGTTTAAGCACTTTTAAGCCCCTGTTTGGCCTACCACTGTGAAATTCAACTCAACCTTTTAATATTTTTTTTGTTGCTCACTTCCTTTTGGCCAATATGAAATCAAAATAAGTAGTGAAAAACAGCTCCATACACATACAAGAGAGGAGAGAATCACCTCTCGTAACTCTTATTTTTATTTATTTTAAAAATATTTATGTACTAAATATGTTTTTTGTTTTCATTTTTATTAAAAATAAAAATAAATATATTGAATTGTTTTTATAAACAAAAACAACAAAAAATTGTAATTTTTGTCAAACGATACCTAAGCCTCCGTTTGGGGGAAAAAAAAATTAGTTTGATTTTTTTGTTTTTTAGTTATTTTAACCTAGTAAAATAGTTTTGTTTGAGATAAATTTTTAATTTTTTTATAATTTTGTAAGAGAAAAAGTAAAATGATTGTGTTTAAATGTGACATTTTATCTTATTAATTTTTTAGTTTGTTTTGTCTTTTAATAGGTTAAATTAGTCCCAATTACCTTGTCAAACGAGGTCTAAATGTGAAATTTTTTTACAGGAAGGTTTACACCTTGTTTGGGAAGAGGATTGAACTAAAACAGTTTATTAAAAGATAAAATAGGCTAAAATAAATAACAAAATAAAATATCGCATCTAACATATAATAATTTTATTTTTTCTTTTATAATCATTAAATTAATTATAAAAAAATTAATTAACTTTTTAAACATAATTTTTTTTAACAATGGCGATACAGACCCCCTCAGATTCCCATCCCCACCACCCCACACACACAGGGGGTTGGTGAGTGGGGGAGAAGAAAAAAAAAAAAAAATTTTTTTTTGATCAATGAAAGACAGTGGGGGTCGTGGGGGTTGCTTCTAAAAGGGGGTCTAAGGGGTGTTTTGGGATATTGGTAAAAAGCCAAAAGCGCTTTTTACCAAACTTTTTAGCTTTTTGGAAAGTGATTTGAGAAGTTGATAAAGAGTTGACTTTTTACTTTTTAGTTTAATATTTATTTATAGTGTCAAATCAAATTAAAATGACCAAAATACCCTTACCCAACATAAAAAATTTATTTTTTTTATTTTTTTGTCATAGGTCTTAATTTGTAATTTTACACTTACATTTTTAACACTGCCCAAACCAATGTTGTTGCGTTTTTGGCACTTGTATTTTTAGACATTTTGTCTAAAAACATGACTTTTTATTTTGTTTTCAAAATGGCACCAAGGCCAAGTTTGGGAAGACTAAGGCCTTGTTTGGTTTGTGTTTCTCAAAAAATTTTGAGAAAAATTCTCTACAAATAAGTTTTCAAAAGTAGTCAAACCAAACAAATTTTTCTAATTTTTTTTTCCAAAACTTGTTTGGTTTACAAGTTTTCCAAACAAATCCCTCTATCATACACATCAAATCAATCACTTTTTTCAAAACTCTCTCTCAAAATAATTTCTCAAAACATCTTTTGAAAAAAAACCAAACCAAACAAATTTTCGTACTTTTTATCTCAAAACATGTTTCTCAAATACAAACCAAACAAGCCCTAAATAAGTGCACTTTTTGACTTTTTATGAAATATGGGTTGGATTTGGGTTGGGTTTGAAGTGATGGGTTAAAGAGGTGATGTGACTTA